TATACACGGTGCAATTATAATCGTCTATAAATGTTCACAAATATGATCTTTTCACTTGCAGAATTGTGTTCTTATGTAGATTCGCTTATAAGCACATTAATTCCACACGTTGAAAGCAGTTTGTGCTTTATCCTTGTCAAATAACGTTTTTCTTCATGGTGTCATTCATTTTCTTTAGATGTTCACGTATATAACCTTTTCACATATCCGCCTACATTGTCCTTCACACCAGCAAGTCAGATGTGCGACGTTGCACCTGGCCGTGTTTTTGGCTACATCTGGCGGTGCCTCCGGATGCGACGTCTCGCGCGGGGTGAGACGTCGCGAGAGCGATGTGAGCAGTGGGGGAATCTCTCGGTGTGGTGTCTGGGAAGCAAACGACTCCCGATTGGGACAGAGGTCACCCCCCATTGTACCCCGGCCCCCACTCAGAGGTAGCTCTTCAGGGTGGCTGTTGGGGATGCACCCGAGTTCAAAGTAAAGGTGGTGGTTATGGCCAAAAGCCGTCATTGATCTCACCACACCTCGCCACCTATCAGATGCCACGGCCTGAGGCCAATTGCATCCTACAGGGGTTGCCAAACTTCCCCAACTCGCAACCCACTGGAGTAGTCAAATTACTACTGTATGTGGTGACCCATGCCTAGTGAGACAGTGCGTGTGGAGGCTGGTGACATCTTAAGTCAGAGGGGGAGGCACAAGTACAAACCCTTGCCAAGGAAGGGGGGGGGGGGAGGTAATCTTACACATTCTGCAAGTTATGTTAGCAACAAAGGTGTGGGTAACAGAGGAGCCTACCTTTGTATGAAGGTGTTAAGAGTACAGCTCACATGGTGATGGGCCCCACGGTAGCGAGGTAACTAACCGACCCTGACGACTGCAGTCTTTTTGGAGTTTGCGTGTTCTCCCCGTGGTCGTAGCGATATTTCTCCGGGTCCTCTGGTTTTTCCGTCCACATTTATAAAAGTGCATTTAGAGTATTTGGCTGCTATACATTTCCACATACGCCACTTCGTTGAGCTATCATTTGTGGCCAGGTCTCTTCTGAAAAAGAGCTATATACCTCAATAGGCCCACTGAGCTATATAGCTTAAACTATGAAAGATGTTTTTTTTAGTGTACCTATCGGCCTAACAATCTTAGCTGACATCTCTTAATGCCATGGATCGGCCTTAACATTTTATTCAATCCCTTTACATTAACAAAGAGAGGAAGTGAAGTGTCATATAACATCAACTTTGTTACACATTTCCAGAGAGTGCTTGAATTACGTCACGTGGAATATGACTCCCAACGTCTGGCATTTAGATCTTCAGAGAAACTGAAATACAAAATGAGTAGTAAAATAAAAAATAAAGTTTCGTATTTTAAAATACAGTCGGGCAAACAGACCCCGAGGTACACACACAGGGAGACACAAGTGATGCCACAACACACCTGGCGTTACATTTTGCTTTAGTTTGTCACTCAAGTCAATAAGTTTCACATGTAATCACCGGCTGATCTCTGAGTTATGCTCTGTAACCATCGCACGCAGTGAGGTTTACACGGAGGGTGTGAATGTGAGTGGCCACCATCCCCATGGTATGTGGTGACCACCCCCACACCGCACTATCACACACACCGTTTATAGTTAACGCCCTTTTTGTTTATTCAGGAAAGCCTCAATGCCTCTCGTCAATACCATAGCCAATACAACACGAAACAAAATACCACTTAAAAAAAGATTTGGCACAACATCACGATTTAGCATTCTCCTGAAAAGAGTATTGAGATGCAATTTCATGTTTTTAGAATTGAAAAAAAAATGGTAGGTATTCCAACGATTCACCCCTCGAGCGATTCAACGAATTGTTAAAATTCTATTTAAAATTCACCGGTAAATTTTGCCAACTCATTTGTACTTTTTTTTATTTTGTTCTGTCTCATTTTTACAGTTGCGTTTGCTCTGTCAACCTACACATACGCAATCTATGTTCTCAAACACATTATTCAGTGCATGTACCATGAGTCTTTGAATCGTATGTATCCAATGTAAGAACATATGCATGCATCATTCTTAAAATAAAACAATCGACAATAAAGAATGATATATTGTTTTTATTGTCTGACCATGTTGTTTTGGTGCAATAATGCATCAGTGAGGTGGATCTCTGCTGGCTTCAACGTTCAGCCACCTGTCCCATATTCCTCCTCAACTCCCCACGACTCCCATCATCAACCCAGCACGAGGTTGTACACACATCTGGCTCTACTTTGTACACGGTTGATTTACTTACAATTAAGCCTCTCGAAACATAAAAGAGTTCTTGGCATTCTAGCACAGGTTTTCTGAGACGGATGCTCGAAACTTTAGTGCAAGACATGTGGGTGTCCGGATAAGAACGTGGCAGGTAAGTGTTGTCGACATGATGAGGCACTTGGTGGGATACGTGTGCAGGATGGGGGAGGGCCAGTTCCCAAGACATAGTCCTTGAGGCAGACCAGATATCGGTACCACCCAAAGTGGCAAAACTTCAATGGTGCCATTTTATTTGTTACACCAACAGAAGTAAAATAATAAATGATAACCTTTCCAAATGAGCAGCTGTTTAATTTTTCTCGCAGGAAACCTGTTTTTGCGCCTATCGCAATCACGCCTTTTTGCCCGGACGTTACACACAATATATTCCAACACCTCTGCTGTTCATTAAGACAATAAACATTTTACAAAATGGATGTTTGTCCCCAAAGCATGTATTTCATACATATTCTTGCATTTATTCATACTTGTTCTTCAATTTCAGTGACTTCGTTAAGTCTGGAATAGATTGGCGCTATCTGTTTTCCTTCTGTTTCTAGCAGCTAGTTTGCTCATGATCACTTACTGGCAATTTTGATTTGAAGCTTTCGTGACTGCAGGAATCCATACTCGTTGGTTCTTTCGGTAAAGTCACGTGGGTAGAAAAATAAAATAAATCACGACGTTTCAATCCAAACACAAGCAACCAAAAGAACCAAGGAGCATTTACTGGCAAGTGAGGCAAGTATGTATTGTTAATGTACCTGTTAAAATTATTAGTTAAGGCCAGGTACTACAGGCAAATATAATGGTTTTTGTTCAGTTTGCCAATTTTTATATTTTTTTAATATTTTGCTTCAATAAATTGTAAACTTTCATAACATGCACAAAATTATTACCAATAACTTTGTTATATAACTTTGTTATTGCTAATAATTGATGATTAAAATCATAAAAACTAACTATATTTTATAAATAGTTTACGATTTTATACAAACTTCGCCAAGTAAACGACGCCTTAAATTAGCGTTTTTAGCACCTTTTATCGCAATTTGTCTCCGCATTCTAAGAAATAACCTCGTTGAATTGCATATCATTGAAAATCTTATTCTCTGGAGCAGATGTCTAGCTTAGTCATATATGACTATTTACTTTGCTGTCATGGAAATAAGAGGGAGAACACAAGTGTAGAACTCTCAAATATCATTGCTACTAGCATCGCAATGCCAGAACTGGCATTCTTCAATACCAGCACACAAACAGCACTTGCAAAGAAAGCACAGGACGTGATTCTGAAGGCAGATAGAAACTTGTTCAGCCACATGATCCTGGTGGCTGAAAGCAGGAAGGTGAATATGAAGGATGTCCTTGCCCACCCACTGGGCCTACTGCCATGGGCACTGGCAAATGCTGATGGGTCCCTACGAAAAACAAACAAGGCTGCACTTGCCAGAGAGCTTGAAAAGAATGTCTCCTGCAGAAGACATCCCAACCCCATCTACTTCCATCATTGATGGGATGAGCCTGGTCCAAACAATGAATGGCAACAACAAAACCTTTGCCATAGGTGGCAGAGTCAGCCTTGACCCAGGTCCTCCACGAGGGGGCACAGAGTGAGAGGATTGATGTTGTTTTTGATGTCTACCCACAGACTTCGATCAAAGATGCTGGACGACTGAACCCGGGGTGCAGACACCACTCTCCAGTACAAGAACCTTGCAGGGGGACACCACATCCAGCAGTGGAGAAAATCCATGTGCAGTCACTCCAACAAGACCAGTCTCATCAAGGTTCGTGGTGGAAGAGTGGAAACTGCCACGATACAGAGAGATGCTGCGTGGCAAGGTGTTGTACATGACCTGTGAGGAACCCTGCTACAAGTTGACAGAATATGAGTGTGAGGAAGTAGCAGAGCTGCACTACACGCATGAAGTAAGCGGACACCCGTCTGCTCCTGCATGCATTGCATGCAGCAAATGTGGCCTCAAAGGCAGTTATCATCACAGCTGAGGACACTGATGTCATGGTGCTTTGTCTTGGCTTCCAGAAGAACATCACCTGTTCATCTACCAGAAGTGTGGGACACAGAACCGCACAAGGTTTGTCGATATTGAAGATCACATTGATTACATTGATTATATTGGTAAAAAGACAAAAATAAAAATTGGTTTTCTGTATCGACACAAGCACTGCTTCCCCCCAATGTTCCGTTTGGAATTGATAAAAGCTACCATACTGCCTCTACTTGCCGTACAAAAACCGGAGGAAGGGCCTTTGCTATTGATGCCCCCAGGGTCTGGAATGCTATTGCCAATAAACTGCAACTTGAATCACTACCTATGAGATCTTCACTCAAAACTGCTCTAGAGGAGTTGTACACCCCTAGCTGCCACTGCTATTCAGTGGCCTAAAATATGGCTCTAGGGTTTGGTGTTATAATTTATTTATGTAGTTTATTGTAAAAAAATTCGGTCACAGTCCCTATGATCACTGTTACATTGCATTTATGGATTTTATTTTGGTGATTTCGAAAAGTTTTTTTTGGTTTGGCCATGTTTTTGTTTATTGTAGTACGGAGTTAGACTGATGGCCTAAATCTTAGTTGTCTTGTGGTTGTTGGTGTTTGACTTGCATCCCACTGGGATTTTTGCACACAGCGTTGGTGTACGGTGCTATTTCAGGAATATTTTGATAGTTTTTTCCTGGATTTTCTGTTTGCACAGTCACATAATCACTTTAAGATGTTTTCTTGTTCATGTTTTAGTTTTTTGTTTGTTGCGGTTGCACCCGATTCAAGAGCCGAATGGCTCACAGGGCTATACCAAATAAATGGAACTAAAGAACTAATATCAGCAAACTGGCAAGGTCACTCGGAGGCAGCATCTGTGACAGCCTAATTGGCTTACACGCTTTCACAGGCTGCGACACTGTCAGTGCATTCGCCAGTCGAGGGAAGCTGAATGCCCTGAAGATGCCAAGAGACTTTTATTCGACTGGGGCAGTCATGGAATGTGAGTGATGAGCTGTTCCAGAAAATTGAGCAGTTCACCTGTCGCATATATGTTGCTAATAGCAGCACTGGTGAGGTGAACGAACTACGCTATCAGCTCTTCTGCACCAAAAGGGGAGAAGTCGAGTCCAGCCAGCTGCCACCATGTAGACACGGTCTCTTCATGCATGTTCAACGAGCCAACTATCAGGCAGCAATCTGCAAGTGCTGTCTGCAGGATAACCCTGTGGTGCCAAGCCCTACTGAGTATGGATGTACAGACGATGATGGCAAGCTGGCCATTTACTGGATGCGCTCCCCACCCGCACCAGATGTGGTCTTGGAACTGCTAGCATGCAAGTGTGTGCGTTCATACAAAATGCCAAGCTGCACGAGCCTGTCAAATGGACTGACATGCACAGACATGTGAGGGTTACAGACCTGCAGTAACCAAAAACTGCAGGATATCCAGAACCTGACTTTGACCTCGGGGAGTCAGATGACGAGATAAACGAGCAGTTTGATGAGTGACAGGTTGGTGATTCTGATGGTATTACTGTGGTAGTAGTAGTATACATTGATGCACAATGTGGTGTTTCTTGACTTGGTTACCCTTAACACCATCTAAGTACACACAGAGCTTGATAACAATAATGTAACCTTCTTCACATATACCCAACACTAACGAAATATATGGGATAACATGTATCATTGACTAAGTATATGCGAATGTCAATGTTTATAATATGCAAGTAGTTCCTTACCTCACTATCGTATTCCTTATTATCCTGTTTTCATTGTGTATTTAAACCAATAAAGACCAGTTTACCTAATTGGCTTTGGTCTAGGTAATTTTTCAGTAATAATGCCCATTTCATCGTCCCGGACGCCTGTCATAGGGAATGGGTATAGAAGTCATGGTAACTACAACTAAGCTGCCACTCCGCAAAGGTTATCATATCAGAATATGCCCCACACACATGGAGGATTACAAAAATCATTACTACACTTTGCCACCTCAGGTAGTAACAATAAGTCATTTTAATGGTCTGGGCCCATGGACTAACAGGCATTGGAGTGATGTCCATGGGTCTGACGACTCAAGGGGAAGATCTAAGACGAGATGGCGGGATACTGTTAGGGCAGATTTTGGAGATTATGTGTCTACTGTTGAGCAGCTGCAGGCTCTGGCCGAGGATAGAAAACGTTGGCGAGGTGCGGTAGCATCAAAAGCAATGGCCACGATGACAATACCGTGCCATTTAGACTTGTCATGCACACAGTGCTCGTTTGCTCTTGAAGAGAGAGAACACCTCGGAGGCACAAGGAACGACAGATAAGTGAGAAGGTAGCGAGGCGGGGAGCCGGTGCCAATGATTGCCCGAGCTATGTGGTCCGGAATAGTTATAGAAAACACACGCGTGCCCGGGGTAGCGACACTCTATCCCCGTATAGATGGACATAGATGGAGATGAATTAGCTTGTGTTGCTGCCATCGACTGGGAAGCCAGGGTATGGCGAACTCGACGGCCACGGTAAGGAGCTTCACGACATTTGTGTGCTCCATCAACCCTCGCCTCCGATGCTGGATTACAGGTGAAACTCTCAAGCCAGCTGGGTCGCACAGTGGCTAAATATTGCAGTACAATAAGTGTGTTTGTGAACCCGCCTGTGAAAAAAAATCCCAAGTCATATCTCCACGAGTGCAATGTAAGGATATGTTGCTTCTAGCAGAACTGTGCTTCTAAAATAAGTACTTATCCAGATTCTCCAACAGTATATGTCCTATCGACTTTTCAAACTGGAAATTCCTTCATCTGTATATACCAACCCTCTACATGTGTACAGTTGACAATCACATCCACATGGATTTCTTTAACCATGAAATCATCAGTAGCATTTCATCACATCTTAAGGTGTATTACATGCTTCCAGGTGTTTCATAAAAATGTGTATGTCTTCGTTCACCGTAACTAATATGAGAAGGACAAGCATGAGGAATTATATGAGAGGCATCGCCGACCCATTCGGGCGGTGTCTCTCTCCTCCAGATAAGCAACGGGGCTTTGAGGCCACGTCAGGCATTGAGGCCACGTGCCGGGATCCACCGAAGCCGATCCCGACTTTAGCTGAACCGTTACGCGTTTAAAGCACGGCAGTAAAAGTGCCAGCGTAGATCGGGCTTAAATAAATCAAACTCAAACGCCAGTAATTCTTCTTGTGCGTTGAGACAGATGCACAACCACAGTGGGGTGGGTTTAATGACACGTTTATATTTTACGCGATCTAACCAAAAAATATATACTTATATTATGGAGTGGGAAGTTCAACTCCAATGCTTTCTGTAAATGATGAGAACAGCCATAATCAAAACGGGGGGGGGGGGGGGTGGGGGGAAACATTGTAGGCTTTTTTAGCACATTTTTGCAAATGCGTGTTGTATTTCTACAGTGGGAAAACTTCATCGAGATGATAAGAGTAGATTTATTAATTTATATATAAACATGTATGCGCCAAAACCACATGGCAGCTTGTTTGACCAAACTTCTACCACACCTTATGCATACCAATTTCTGCTTCTGGCCCTTTTCTTAAGGGGCAGTCACAATTCACTGGGGGACAATGTGCTCTGCAGCTGTGGGTTATCTTACATTTATTTGCATCAGTAAAACCTCGCTTATATTTATGAGATCCACGTCATAAGTTAAAGTAAGACGGTTCATCCAAGAGTGTTCTATACATGTGGTTATAGTGACATTGCTGCATCACAACAGACGTGTGATGGCATCATACACGGTGTTGGCAGAAGGTCCATATATTCCTGTCTTATGCCAATCCGATGGACCAAGAGGGAAAGGATTGTAGGGACTTCACACCCACCACTTACGAGTAATTTTAAATCCGCCACCATTTATATTTTTACAAATATGAGTTTTTAGTAATCGTACGAGAGGCAGTTCTGGCTGTGTTGCACGTGTGCAAGTTAAATATAACGACATGTCGAGGCTCTTTATGTGAAGACCACCACAGAGACAGAATTTTTGAAATACCATACAAGACCTGACCCCTGTATTTTTTATATGGTTCTTAGGGACTGCCAGAGTCTTCTGAAAGCCCGGTTGTTTTCACTGCAGCCCCAAGAGCTGAAAAACAGCAATGCACGGCACAGTTAAAAGTAGTTTTTCTTTTAACTAACACATACACTCTAAAACATTTCACGCAAAATTGCAGCCCCAGTTTACGGATTTAAAGGTCGATATTCAATTTTTAGCATGGCATGCTAGTGAGAGGAAATTATTGATTGGGGAATTATACACATATTAGTTCATAAAGCATGTCTTTTCCAGGCAAACGTTTTCAATAGATACAATAATTAACTTGATATAATTTTTTTTATTTTTTTAAATCTACAATCAAACATTAACAACTACTCCAAAAATGTGTATTTTTCCGCAAAAAGACAAAAATTGTTTACGACTTGATTCAACTTCTTATATTTAAAGACGTACCCATCAGGAGCCGCTCACTTTAAAGATTCCATTCTTTTTTTTATTACAAAGAACAATAATTCATTAACTGAATACTCTGAGGCGAAGGTCCTATCATTTACCGATTTCAAATTATTTAGATTTGACCATCATAAAATGTGTATATTTTCGGTCAAAATCGCTTGAAACCGAAATATTTCAAATATAATAAAAGATAGAACAATGGTTCTCCGTTTCATTTTATTTGCTGTTTAACGCTCGATCAAACGAAAAAAACGCAATTGTAAATTTTAAATGGTTTCTCAATGACACACACAAACATGATAATGGGACACTTAAAATTGAGATTTGGGAGCCTTAACATTAAAATATCTCGAATTTTCTGATTTTTCCTGTTGTTTGTGTCCTAAAAGCTACCTATGTACCAAATTTCATAATAAAGTTTTTTTTGGGTTAGATCGCATATATATTTAGATAGATCGTGTAAATATGTACCCAAAAAACACCTGTATTATGGATTATATTGGTCGCGAAAGCCTACATGTTAAACGTACCAAATGTTTTTTTTTTCTACCTTATCGGTGAGTACCCTAGAGTTTTTGAGACATACATACAGATTAAGGTATTTATTTATATAGATGCTGTATTGCAACAAAATGAATATTGTGGTAAAATGTAATGTATGTCACAATTTGATGTACTACATTGGTTCACGTCTCATGCAATGAACCTGGTAACCTGGTGAATAAGATATGAAATGGGCCCCCATGGATCAACCGACGCTGAACAGCATGGTCAATTGCTGTATGGACAAATAACCCCCAAGACCGGCATGGCATGGGGATGCAGTCATTTAGTAGTGGATTGACAAAAGGGCTGTCCACAATGGCCGAAATGAAAAAATCCCGATATGAAACCTCTTTAGCCTTTCAGTCCATGTTCACTGATGTTTCCCCTATGCAGAGACATTTTAGCAGATAAGAAGAGTAACCATTCTGAAACGTGCCGTTGTGCACGTTTGGTGTCCCAAGAAGTGCCGGTGTTGTATACCGTCGTATACCAGGCCATTTCGACCACTGGCTGTACATGTACATTGTTATTGTATTACCGGGCAGGTGAAGACATCCAGCTTATCGTCATCCCCCTCGCTGAGGGCCTCTCCAGCTCTCCTCCCGAGGGCTGGGCCACACGCCCTTTTCCCGGGACATCTCACCGGAGCGCTTCGTGGACTCCACCTGCCCCTGGGGGCTCCGCATGTGCAGATCCACCCTGCCCTGCGTCCCGTCCTCCGGGACACAGCACCTGGATCTCCCAGGGCCTCGCATCACTGAGCAAGACAGAGCGATTGTCTGTGGTGTGAAACCATGGAAGGGGCTTGTCGTGCAATCTATATCCTTTGGTCCAAGGGTGCAACCCTGTAGCGAAGGGGAATTGACGAAAGGAGTGGGGACTGCACGCCACGTATTATGCTTAGATGCATTCGCTGCTGCATTAGCTAGTTTTACTGTATATCAAACAGGAGAGTAAGAGTACGTTTTCGTTCAAAATGCTTGCCAACGGGACAAAACTCAGAGAGTCAAGCGGTCAGTATCAGTGAAATAAGTGTAAGTACACTTTACTCTACAGATTATCACTATAGTTACATTTTAATTCGACTAAAATGAAGCCACACGATGGCTCAGATCCAGTGGTGGTCAGCTTTAGGAAATTAAAACAATTGACAGCAGCTATAAACGATGCGGTAAGTGGTGAACAATAGGACCATACAGCAGAGATCTCAAACCGTAGCAAATACTTCATATAACATGCATGTGCATATAAAACAACTTACTTTGGCAGCATGCGCCACCCATGGCCTTTCAACTGCGTTGGCTGTCCCTGGTCCACACCAAATGGGAGGCAAGTGGCCGTGGCTGCTCTTAATAACAGCGGACACTTTTCACGCTCTTGCGTTTCACTTCGTCATTGTTTTGAGAGCAGAGCCTCGAGCACAGCATGGAGATGCCCTCTTGCAACACGAGCGTGGCTCCTATAGGTGAAACGGCAGCGGACATTGTTATATATTCATAATGCTCACTATCACACTTGTTGTAATGTACACGAAATAATGAAAACTTTGATCAGTGGTGGTGGTGCTGGTCCATTGGGGACCTTAAGCAGAAATGATTTTGGAGGGTGGGCCATCCTCTGAATGTATAAACTCCTATTGAGATGATGGAAGAGACAGACAGGAGGTATGAAATGTAGCGAGATGAGAGAAGAGAAATAGATCAGATATAGAGGAAGGGGAATCAGAGAGATGCAGACTCGAGCAAAAATTTGAGTTAGATAAGTGAAGACACAAATATGATAGAGATGAGAGAGATTAGCTGGTTAACATACTGTATATTAAATATATATATTTTTAAAGTTAAATATGATTTTAATTTCTGCTTACAATTTGTTCTACCCTATTTTTCGCATGCATCTGAGGTCCTTTTAGCTTCTTGGGATCCTAAGCTTTGCTTAGTTTGCTTATGTTACATTTTAATTATTTAGATTTGATTATTATTGACGATTAATGGTTAAATGTTGTCGTTGATAATGGCGTGATATTCGTTACGTGACTATAATTCACACATTGACGTGTGGGTTATGTATCGTCATCAGCAGCAAGAGCCATGGTCAATCCACTGCTGGGTGAAGGCCTCCTGACGCCTATTGTTACGTTTGACTAATGACAAAGACGATTGGAAATGATATTTTATGAAGACGACGACGACGACGATGATGATGACGATCACAACGAAACGGATAAATGACAACGCCACAACCGCACAAACAATGGCTTTTGTCAACTCAACAGACCAACAAAAAAGCCACCGCACAATCCACAAACTCACACCACCACCACCCCCAAAAAAAGAACCCCCCTCCAGCGGCTCGTCGCCTCCACCAGGGGCGCTATCGTTCGCGGAAAACCCCCCCGCAATTGCCACACGATCGGGGTTTTTTTTTATACATTTGCGAAACTCGCCAGTCGGTTGTGAGAACGGAGGGATTTTTGTTGCGTGTGTGTGTGTGCGTGTGGCGTTTTTTTTTGGGTTACACTCCCGTCACATGTGACGTTGGTTGTGGTGTCACCATTCGCTTCCGTGATCATGGACATCAACTCCCGTGGTGGGAAACACGCAGCGTGATCAGGGACATCAACTCCCGTGGCGGTGGTGGGAAACACTCGGCGTGAGAAAGGATCAAGGTGACAGCAGCAACATCGTCTGATCGGCCATCAAATCGTGTAGGTCCCAGCCGGACAGTGGCGGCCACAGAGGGCAGTGGAGGAGCCTCACTGCTGCCGCTGCTCCCGCTGTGTGTCTGTGTGCGTGTGAAGGGCAGCCCCGGCACGACTCATCCGCGAATGGAATTCGCAGCAATCGGCGTGGGGACGGAGCGACGCTTGGGTGGATTTTGTGAATTATTATTACATCGTGGTGGTGGTGGTGGGGGGGGGTCGTGTGAGAGGCGGCGGCGGCTTTCATCCAGCAGTGGATTGGCCATGACCGACGACGACGATTATTGTTATTGTTGTTTTGTTTAAGTAGAATTCTCGGCGGGCCCTTGGGCACACACAGGAGGAGGAGTTGGGACCTGCCGGGTCGCGTGGTGGTCACGTGGGGGGGCGGGGAGGCCATTTACTCGAACCCGCGTGTGTTGTTGTTGATGGTTGTGTTGTTGATGGTTGTGTTGTTGTTGATGGTTGTGTTGTTGAGCTGGTGGTTGTGTTGTTGTTCAGCTGGTGGTTGTGTTGTTGATCGTTGTATTGTTGTTGAGCTGGTGGTTGTGTTGTTGTTGAGCTGGTGGTTGTGTTGTTATTGATGGTTGTGTTGTTGTTGATGGTTTGTTGTTGATGGTTGTGTTGAGCTGGTAGTTGTGTTGTTGAGCTGGTGGTTGTGTTGTTGTTGATGGTTGTGTTGTTGTTGATGGTTGTGTTGAGCTGTTAGTTGTGATGTTGAGCTGGTGGTTGTGTTGTTGTTGAGCTGGTGGTTGTGTTGTTGAGCTGGTGGTTGTGTTGTTGAGCTGGTAGTTGTGTTGTTGTTGAGCTGGTGGTTGTGTTGTTGTTGATGGTTGTGTTGTTGAATTGACAGTTGTGTTCAGCTGGTGGTTGTGTTGTTGTTGAGCTGGTGGTTGTGTTGTTGTGCTAGTGGTTGTGTTGTTGTTGAGCTGGTGGTTGTGTTGTTTGTTGAGCTGGTGGTTGTGTTGTTGTTGATGGTTGTGTTGTTGAATTGACAGTTGTGTTGAGCTGGTAGTTGTGTTGTTGTTGAGCTGGTGGTTGTTGTTGAGCTGGTGGTTGTGTTGTTGAATTGACAGTTGTGTTGAGCTGGTGGTTGAGTTGTTGAGCTGGTGGTTGTGTTGTTGTTGAGCTGGTGGTTGTGTTGTTGTTGAGCTGGTGGTTGTGTTGTTGAATTGACAGTTGTGTTGAGCTGGTAGTTGTGTTGTTGTTGAGCTGGTGGTTGTTGTTGAGCTGGTGGTTGTGTTGTTGAATTGACAGTTGTGTTGAGCTGGTGGTTGTGTTGTTGTTGTTGAGCTGGTGGTTGTGTTGTTGAATTGACAGTTGTGTTGAGCTGGTGGTTGTGTTGTTGAGCTAGTGGTTGTGTTGTTGTTGAGCTGGTGGTTGTGTTGTTGTTGATGGTTGTGTTGTTGAATTAACAGTTGTGTTGAGCTGGTGGTTGTGTTGTTGAGCTGGTGGTTGTGTTGTTGAGCTGGTGGTTGTGTTGTTGTTGAGCTGGTGGTTGTGTTGCTGTTGATGGTTGTGTTGTTGAATTGACAGTTGTGTTGAGCTGGTAGTTGTGTTGTTGTTGAGCTGGTGGTTGTGTTGTTGTTGATGGTTGTGTTGTTGAATTGACAGTTGTGTTGAGCTGGTGGTTGTGTTGTTGAGCTGGTGATTGTGTTGTTGATGGTTGTGTTGCTGACTTGACAGTTGTGTTGAGCTGGTGGTTGTGTTGTTGAGCTGGTGGTTGTTATAGGAATAGGTTTTACCCTTTTAACTGGCACAAAAAACTGACACCTTTATTCAAGGCATCATGTTTGCAAAAACCACAACACAAGCAGTCAGAATGCAAACAAAAGAGACAACTCTGATAATGATATTGGCACTGTCCTTGAATTTGATTGGTCCACACCCCGAGACAGCTTTTCTTAGAGCCTAGTCTCCATTGGTGTTGGACCAGAAGACGCCAAAAGGCGTACAACTCAAAAACAGCGCACCATCAGAGTATTGAGGGCTCGGGGTGAGCATTTACATTATGAGACCTCCTTTGCCAGAAACAAGATATAGGAATAGGTTGTACCCTTTTAACTGGTGGTTGTTGTTGAGCTGGTGGTTGTGTTGTTGAGCTGGTGGTTGTGTTGTTGTTGATGGTTGTGTTGTTGAATTGACGGTTGTGTTGAGCTGGTAGTTGTGTTGTTGTTGATGGTTGTGTTGTTGAATTGACAGTTGTGTTGAGCTGGTAGTTGTGTTGTTGTTGAGCTGGTGGTTGTTGTTGAGCTGGTGGTTGTGTTGTTGAATTGACAGTTGTGTCGAGCTGGTGGTTGTGTTGTTGAGTTGGTGGTTGTGTTGTTGAGCTGGTGGTTGTGTTGTTGTTGATGGTTGTGTTGTTGAATTGACAGTTGTGTTGAGCTGGTGGTTGTGTTGTTGAATTGAAAGTTGTGTTGAGCTGGTGGTTGTGTTGTTGTTGAGCTGATGGTTGTGTTGTTGTTGAGCTGATGGTTGTGTTGTTGTTGAGCTGGTGGTTGTGTTGTTGATGGTTGTGTTGCTGACTTGACAGTTGTGTTGAGCTGGTGGTTGTTGTTGAGCTGGTGGTTGTGTTGTTGTTGAGCTGGTGGTTGTGTTGTTGTTGAGCTGGTGGTTGTGTTGCTGTTGATGGTTGTGTTGTTGAATTGACAGTTGTGTTGAGCTGGTAGTTGTGTTGTTGTTGAGCTGGTGGTTGTGTTGTTGTTGATGGTTGTGTTGTTGAATTGACAGTTGTGTTGAGCTGGTGGTTGTGTTGTTGAATTGAAAGTTGTGTTGAGCTGGTGGTTGTGTTGTTGTTGAGCTGATGGTTGTGTTGTTGTTGAGCTGATGGTTGTGTTGTTGTTGAGCTGGTGGTTGTGTTGTTGATGGTTGTGTTGCTGACTTGACAGTTGTGTTGAGCTGGTGGTTGTTGTTGAGCTGGTGGTTGTGTTGTTGTTGAGCTGGTGGTTGTGTTGTTGTTGAGCTGGTGGTTGTGTTGTTGAGCTGGTGGTTGTGTTGTTGTTGACGGTTGTGTTGTTGAATTGACAGTTGTGTTGAGCTGGTGGTTGTGTTGTTGAGCTGGTGGTTGTGTTGTTGTTGAGCTGGTGGTTGTGTTGTTGATGGTTGTGTTGTTGAATTGACAGTTGTGTTGAGCTGGTGGTTGTGTTGTTGAGCTGGTGGTTGTGTTGTTGAGCTGGTGGTTGTGTTGTTGTTGATGGTTGTGTTGTTGAATTGACAGTTGTGTTGAGCTGGTGGTTGTGTTGTTGAATTGAAAGTTGTGTTGAGCTGGTGGTTGTGTTGTTGTTGAGCTGATGGTTGTGTTGTTGTTGAGCTGGTAGTTGTGTTGTTGATGGTTGTGTTGCTGACTTGACAGTTGTGTTGAGCTGGTGGTTGTGTTGTTGAGCTGGTGGTTGTTGTTGAGCTGGTGGTTGTGTTGTTGTTGAGCTGGTGGTTGTGTTGTTGTTGAGCTGGTGGTTGTGTTGTTGTTGACGGTTGTGTTGTTGAATTGACAGTTGTGTTGAGCTGGTGGTTGTGTTGTTGAGCTGGTGGTTGTGTTGTTGTTGAGCTGGTGGTTGTGTTGTTGATGGTTGTGTTGTTGAATTGACAGTTGTGTTGAGCTAGTGGTTGTGTTTTTGAGCTGGTGGTTGTGTTGTTGAGCTGGTGGTTGTGTTGTTGTTGAGCTGGTGGTTGTGTTGTTGATGGTTGTGTTGTTGAATTGACAGTTGTGTTGAGCTGGTGGTTGTGTTGTTGTTGAGCTGATGGTTGTGTTGAGTTGATAGTTGTGTTGAGCTGGTGGTTGTGTTGAGCTGATGGTTTTGTTGTTGTTCAGAATCAGAATCAGAAAGGGTTTTATTCGCCATGAAAGTTCGCACAGACAAGGAATTTGCTTTGGCAGGAAGGTGCACACATTCAACATATAGGAATATTAAATCTTAATGTAAAGTAGCTATAAGATACAATCTAAAAATACAATTCGGGTAACGTAGTGTAAATATGGCAAGGTGTCATTTTGTAGATAAAATGGTAAAGTCAGTGTAAGCCCTTGGCCTTGTTGAAGAGGCCAGCAGCGGATGGGAAGAAACTGTTTTTGTGGCGTGAGGTTTTGGTCCTGATGGACCGCAGCCTTCTGCCGGAGGGGAGTTGCTGGAACAGAAAGTGCCCAGGGTGGGAGGAATCGGCCACAATCTTCCTCGCTCGCCTCATGGTCCTCGAGGTGTGCAGGTCCTCGAGGGTTGGTAGATTGCAGGCAATCACCTTCTCAGCAGTGTGGATGATACACTGCAGTCTGCTCTTGTCCTTGGCAGTGGCAGCAGCGTACAAGATGGTTACGGAGGAGGTGAGGATGGATTCAATGATTGCTGTATAGAATTGCACCATCATTGTCTTTGGCAGGTTGAATTTCTTCAGCTGCCGTAGGAAGTACATCCTCTGTTGAGCTCTCTTGGTGAGGAAGCTGATGTTCAGTTCCCACTTGAGGTCCCGGGAGAGAATAGTGCCCAGGAAGCGGAAGGACTCTACAATTTTGACTGGGGAGTCGCACAGGGTGATGGGGGTGAGTGGGGCTGTATTCTTCCTGAAGTCCACAACTATCTCAACTGTCTTTAGAGCATTTAGCTCTAAGTTGTTCTGGCTACACCAGGTCACCAGGTTGTCAGCTTCCCACCTATAGTCAGACTCATCCCCATCAGAGATCAGCCCAATGAGGGTGGTGTCGTCCGCAAACTTCAAGAGTTTGACGGACAGATGATTGGAGGTGCAGCTGTTGGTGTACAGGGAGAAGAGCAGTGGGGAAAGTACGCAGCCCTGAGGAGTTCCGGTGCTGATGGACCTTGAGTCAGAGACTTGTGTTCCCAGCTTAACGCACTGCTTCCTGTCAGACAGGAAGTCTGTGAACCACCTGCAGGTGGAGTAGGGCACGTTCAGCTGGAAGAGCTTGTCCTGAAGCAGGGCAGGGATGATGGTGTTGAAGGCAGAGCTGAAGTCCTCAAATAGGATCCTGGCGTAGGATGCTGGGAAGTCCAGATGCTGTAGGGTGAAGTGGAGGGCCATGTTAACTGCGTCGTCCACAGACCTGTGGGCTCTGTAGGCAAACTGAAGGGGGTCCAGGAGAGGTTCTGTGATGGCTTTGAGGTGTGCCAGGACCAGGCACTCAAAAGACTTCATTACCACAGAGGTAAGGGCGACCGGTCTATAATCATTTAGTTCTGTTGGCCTTAGCTTTTGGGCACAGGGATGATGGTGGAGGACTTGAGACAGGCTAGTACATGGCATGTCTCCAGGGAGGTATTAAAGATGTTGGTGAACACCTGAGACAGCTGGTCAGCGCAGTGCCTGAGGGTGGCTGGAGAGACAGAGTCCGGCCCAGCTGCGTGGGTTCTGCGTCTTGAAAAGTCTATTAACTTCTCCCTCCTGAAAGGAGAGAGTCGTCTCTGTAGTAGGGGTGGGGGATGGGGCCTCTTGGGTGGGAAGGGGTAGTTCAGGACAGTCCAATTGTCTTTCAAATCTGCAGTAGAACTCGTTCAGGTCGTTGGCCAGGCGGGAGTCGTTAGTGGTGTGGGGGGCTCTGGGCTTGTAGTTGGTGATCTGCCTGAGCCCTCTCCAGACAGAAGCAGAGTCATTAGCAGAGAACTGGTGTTTTAGTCTCTCTGAGTACAGTCGTTTAGCCTCTCTCACCGCCTTGCTAAACCTGTTCTTCGACTCCTTGAATCTGTCTCTATCCCCACTCCTAAACGCTTCCTCCTTCACCAACCTCAACCTTCTGAGCTTTGCTGAGAACCAGGGCTTGTTGTTGTTGAAGTTCACCCTGGTACGTGTTGGAATACAGTAGTCCTCACAGAAGCTGATGTACGACGTCACAGCCTCTGTGAGTTCATCCAGACTATTGGTAGCAGTCGTGAACATATCCCAGTCAGTACAGTCCAAGAACGCCCGCAAATCCTGTGTTGAGCTGATGGTTGTGTTGAGTTGACAGTTGTGTTGAGCTGATAGTTGTGTTGAGCTGATGGTTGTGTTTAGCTGATGGTTGTGTTGAGCTGATGGCTGTGTTGAGTTGACAGTTGTGTTGAGCTGATGATTGTGTTGTTGTTGAGAGGTGTTGGGCTGATGGTTGTGTTGAGTTGACAGTTGTGTTGAGCTGATGGTTGTGTTGAGCTGATGGTTGTGTTGAGTTGACAGTTGTGTTGAGCTGATGGTTTTGTTGTTGTTGAGAGGTTGTGTTGAGCTGATGGTTGTGTTGAGCTGATGGTTGTGTTGTTGAGCTGATGGTTGTGTTGTTGAGTTGACAGTTGTGTTGAGCTGGTGGTTGTGTTGAGTTGATGGTTGTGTTTAGCTGATGGTTGTGTTGTTGAGTTGACAGTTGTGTTGAGCTGATGGTTGTGTTGAGCTCATGGTTGTGTTGTAGAGTTGACGGTTGTGTTGAGATGGTTGTTGTGTTGTTGTTGAGCTGGTGGTTGTGTTGAGCTGATGCTTGTGTTGAGCTGATGGTTGTGTTGAGCTCATGGTTGTTGTGGTACTTTTGCTGCAATTCTGTTGAATAGTTTAAGGCTGTTGTTTAGTTGGGTTTATCATCATCATCGTCGTCAATTATGGTCAATCCACTGATGGATGAAGACCTCCCCAAGTTCGCCGCCATCTCTCACGATCCTGGGATGTAAACAATCCACCCAGCACCCGCACACGAACCAACTTCATTGTGCCTTCTTCCTGACCGTACGTCCTCGCGGACGAGTTCCATTTAGAATCGACATGCCTTTAGAGTACGTGGCTGCTGCTGCTATAAATGTCCATGCGATAAACTACTTCGTTGAGCTGTCATGTGCGATAGCCAGGTCGCTTCTGAAAAAAAGAGCTACATAGGACAGTGGGCCTTACCTGGCAAAAAAAAAGCAATCTCTTTGCTGCCAATTATTATTCTCGACCGTCATCCATTACAGTGACGTGTCCTGCCAAAGCTGCCCGCTGCATTTTCCCAAGGTGCACTCCTGCAATTGAGACAGACACCCCTCTTTGAGTTCTCAACCTGGTTTATAAACAAAATAAAATCCGATGTCTGCGTTTGTTGTTTCCCTGTGCGCAAGCTGTACACGGAACCTCGTCGGAACGCACCTCTCTTGAGCAATGGCGAGCGGAGGAGGAGCACCAGCGCCACTGCAGTTCTGCCCGTTCAGCAGTGCCCTCGATTCGGGCTTTTGGCACACGCTGAGCCAAAAAAAGGTGAACGAGTACAAGCTGGATGAAGCGGCCAAGGAACTCAAGGGCTTCTTCTACAATGGTTCGTACGGTCCGGGCTCCCGTAACACGCGGTTTTTTCAGAACGCGAATTTGGATGAATGTATTCGGGAACGCATTTTTTGTCAAAATTATATATAACGCGCATGCGAATTGGATATAACGCGGTTGAGTGGACGGAGCTACGTCGCGCGAGTGGGTGTAAGCGGTTGTGCGGGCTGCAAGGCGGGATGCTGCTGGATGCTTCTAGATGCTACCCACGTGCCTCAGCCTTTGTTCAGCCTGCGTACGCAACTCACGTGTGATCGGGGACTTTGCTTTACCCTATGTCATATGTTATTTATGAAAACGCGATTTTTCCGTAACGCAGCGTTCTTCAGGATCGCTATTACCGTGTTATAGGAGAAGAGATTGTAAGTGATCAAACCAAATCGCAATGCAACCGCGCCGACACGATCATCACGTTCTGAAGAGCCGTCGTTTTGATGGCTTGAACCGACGTGCTGGAATTCTCTAAACATTTCCTTGTTCGATGGTTGTTTTTTCCAGGAGACCCTCCCGGCCTTCCTGCTCGCATGATGCTGGAGTTCAACTCTTTTGACCCGTACGGCATTTTGTTTTATTTCAAACATATCCTCTTAAGGAAAACACGTACGCATGTGTGACACCGATTCTTTTGGTTTCGGCGATCGGGATATTTTCAAACAAGGTGCGTATTTTGAAATTCTTTGCCGGATTCGTTTTTGCGCACTGTGCCAGGTTGGTTTTTATTAGGTTAGTTTGTTTTCCCAACGTCACGGTCCACTCATCCATGACAGTCATTGCCTTTAAGGGCCGAACTAAAAACATTTATTTTCTCCTGCTTAGTTTAATTTCGTTCATTTTTGTTCCTCTGTGTCATCTGCACATCCATCTCAGCTGTGTGCTTAACGTGACGCATTATACGTCTTGGATTGATTGATGGTGTTGATTCGCCCCGAACGGTGCGTTTTTAATCCTGGGGCTGTACGGCAATGTTTCTGGTACGCGGGCAGGCAAGCCCCCACGCCTGCCCGCAATTGCCCCATTGCAGGCTCTCTCCACAACACCAACACGCTGGGGGCCTTTAAGACGTGCGACAAGAAAGCGCTTTTGGATCAAGCTGCGCAGAAGGTTTGCGCATGAGTTGTTAACGCCATTCACTATTCATCCTCCTTGATGGTACACGGATTTGTACACCTTCATTTACAGCGTTACACTTGCTCAGGCTCCGTCAAGGAATGAATAAATGATGCCGCAATTCTGCATGATTGTTATTATTAAAACAGCCGTTAACTTTCACAAGTGTGGAGACCAAAAGCAAAATAGATGCCACGTTTCAGCGATGTTTGTTCACCAGGTCTGCCCACTAATTTTTTTTCCCCAAGTCATTGGTTCTTGCTTGTAAAATAAAATAAAAAAGTTGCTCTAAAAGCCCACCTGAGGGTGGTGTGCAAACAGAGTGGTGAAAGGGTCCTTGAGAGTGGACCTTTCCTTTTGTTTTTGTTGCAGATCTGGGAGGCCGTGACGTCTGGAGCAGCACTGCAGGACCCCACCCTCCTCAACCAGTTTGTTCTGCTCACATTCGCTGTGAGTGTGGCCATAGAGATTTCTCTGTCCGTGCGTCCGTATAAACGTTGTGTAGAGTGGCTGTGGATGGGGAGCGGTGGCGTGGTGGTTAACGCACTGCGCTACAAAACCGGTCGACCTGAGTTCCATTCCTGCTCGCAACCAATAGCAGTGGCGAATATTTGAATTGGTCATGGGCCTCCCGTAAGATGACTCAGTCTGAAATGAGTACCGGGTGCGGTGCGTCAACATGAGCACGGGGGAGACAGATGGTGGGACATGGTGTTGCCCACTCACCCCCTCATGTGCTTTGCTGACCATCATAGGTACTCGCTAACAGCATCTACCCCAGCAGTCTGTTAAAGGCTATAGAGGCGATCTTTGTCCTTGTGGAGTGGTTACACACTGGTTCATGCCCTGCTCAACCATCCAACTATCCGAGGTTCAGTTTCCAGCTATGATGCACAACGTCAGTGGCAAGTTTGATCTAAACCAGCCTTAAATGAGTATCTGGTGCACCGTTTGAAGATCAGCACTGAGGGGACAAAGGAGGCCCGACATGGGTGTAGTCACACCACTCCCTCCATCTGTCATGCTGGCTTTAATAGGTGTTGGCCAATAGTACCTAACCCAACAGTCTATAATGCTCAAAGGGGTATAATTGTGTTTTTATGTGAGTGGTGGTGGTGGTTCCTGGAATACTGAGGTTGATAGGATTCTCAGTCATGGCTTGTCAGATCTTAACCTGCCCAGCACCTCAAATAGTTTGATGTTGGCTTAAATGAATACCTGTTGCAGTATGTAAACATCAGCGCCAGAGAGGCAAAGGTCATGGTGCTGGCCTCACCATCCAGTCGTGCGTAAAAGCAGCTTGTGTTTAAGTTTATTTTATTCGTTACACGGATGTGCCTGTTTAGCCTTTTGCCCGGCTATTTTACAAGGGAGATCCGTGGCACGTGAACACAGAAACAACAATACAAAGACTAAAAAACATCAACATTGCAGAAAGCGAGTAAAGAGTCCATAGGGAATATCACACAACTAACAAACCAGGTATTTAACGGTTATAAATTATAACTGGTTAGAGAACTGCACTACGAACACAGCAACATTTATTACATTTTCAGTCTCGTGCCCATGACAACACTTAGCAACAATTATGTATAGGGCAGTATGAATTAATTTTTCCTTTGTTTTGTGTGCGCATGTGTGGGTATCTTTGTGTTTTTGTGTTAAAGTGAGAACAAAAATTCACAGCTGCTCTTACGGCCTTCCGACCTCCCGTTTAGTGAAGCGGGCAGATGTTTTGGAAAATAAACTATAATCACTACGTCGGCGACGTGGGTGAGTTGTAAAAACCGGGGATAGTTTTTTGTTTCCATTGCAGTGCAGCGAGCTGTGAAAATCACACACATCCTATGTTTACGTTTGAGGGGGGATACCAAACTGGTGTGAACATGTGAAATACAATCCTGTTCTCTGCCCTGCTGCATATTCTATGTTGCGTGTCGTTCATTATTTCCCTGTCGCCACCGATATTCTCGTGGCAAGTTCAAACGATCCCCGCGTCTGTTTTCCAGGACCTGAAGAAATACCATTTCTACTACTGGTTCGCGTTCCCGGCTTTGTGCTTTCCTGATGGCATCGCTCTGCTGGAGCCTTCGCTCCCCCTTGGCGAGAGATGCTCTACTGCCCAGGTGCCTCTTAGCATTCGCGATTTGGCTGTTTTTCACGAACATTTTGGTTCTTTACTCTTTGGTTCTTTCGGTAAAGTCACGTAGGTATAAAATAAAATGAATCACTACGTGTCGGGATGCAACACAAGCGTCCGTCATCAGGTGGGAAAGCGTGGGTCTGCTGCTGAGGCTGACCGTTTTAACAAGGTTTGAAATGGGTGTAGCCCAAGGGTTATTAAGGAAGTGGCCGGGGCTAGTGATGTTAATGTGAGAAATTAGCGTGTAACTGTAAGATAGGAGGAGAGCGGCCTCCTCAACGATGGCACGGAAGTGGCTATGTTAATGTGAGGGATTAGCATGATGTTAGTGTGCGAAATTAGCATGATGTTAATGTGAGAGATTAGCATGATGTTAGTGTGAGAAATTAGCATGTAACTGTAAGATAGGAGGAGAGCGGCCTCCTCGACGAGGGAGAGCAACCCAACGGGTGTAATCCAAAGGGCCTGTGAGCATGAGAGTGCAATCCAAAGGGCATGTGAGCATGAGAGTGCAATCCAAAGGCATGAGAGTGCAATGCAAAGAACATGTGAGCATGAGAGATCTCAGAGAGAGGCATAGAGAGAGAGAGACACAGAGAGTCGAAAAAATGTTGGTTCTTGCCACAAGCTGACAGGCAGTGCTCTCTGCGAGCATGATTTACTTTAAATAACTGACAGCACAATTGATATTGTACAGCCAACTGGCAACACAAACCTGACTCCAATTTTACCGGATTTTTTTGTTAGGAAGTAGGAAAAATAACTTTGGTTATTCGAATCAAATTCCATTAATTTATAATGCTCTTTAATTCCCTATGACAGTAGCGTTGACTCTAAAAAAATATTTTGTAGGAGGAACCTCGATTAGGATATTTGGTAATTAACAATTAATCAGTGTCCGGAATGCAGGGTGGACATCAGAGTGCCCAGAGAGAAACCCACGCATCCGAGGGGTTAACGCTAAACACTCGACACTGCTCTCTCCTGGCTACTTTGCAGCACCCATGCGTACAAAACACCTGGATAGTCCTGATGTATTACTCATCCAAGTACTAATTGGGATGAGCTCTGCTTACCTTCTGATATGATGAAATTGGGCCATTCATGATGATTTGGTTGTATAACAGGACATTAAGCCACTACTGGCTTAATGTCCTGTTATTTACACATCAGCTTATTTGCCCGTCCATGGACGTAAGCTGTAATATTTATAAAAAAAAAAAAATTGAGCAGAGTATAATTGTATCTTGTGTAAATTTGATGGCAGTGAATTTGCACAAAAGTACGTCATCAAACACTTCACTGCAGCTCACTGTAGCACTGTATTAATGGAAGTGAATCTGGCACAAAACTATATCATAAACTCCTCACTTCATGTCACTGTAGCACTGTATATAACTGAGCTTCAATTTGTTCAAATTCACTGCTCTGATACTTTATTCTCTTCTGCTTTCGGTCGCTGGGGTTGAAATAAATTGGAATTCGATACAATATCTGAAAAATCACTGAGAAATGTCTATTTTATCATAATGTAGAAGCATACATTAGACTTACCTTTTCTCTCAAGTGCTGAAAAAATAAATATTGACACAAAATCCACTTTGTTGCTGCGTAGAATTATTTATTAGATTCACTTTCAATAAAGAAACTTCAAACTTAAAGCGAATTTGTGAAAAAAATATTTCTGCACGACCTGCGTGAGTGTAAAAATCCACCCTCTCATGAATATTAATGCGGGGGGGGGGGGGTGTGGCATGTGGAGTGACGTCACGCACGGGACACACAAACAGTCATTCTTGGCTCATTAGCAATTGTTGCCGTTATTTGGATGGAATGCAATATGTGAATCTTATTTTTGATTTACAAATCATTTGTTGAACCCTACGTACATTAATACATATAAACGCACACATTTGTATTATGTGTGTGAGTCGGTATGTTTTTTGGAAGGATGTACTGTATATTTATCTTTCCAATGTTTCTACCAACAACCAAATCATGTAAATTGCACTCCATCCCATTATAGCTCAGAAGCTAAGCAGGGCTAAGGCCTGGATAGTGCTTGGTTGAGTGATCATCATGCACAGTACAGATTGTCAACGGACTTGCATGGTTACATGGAGTGGCCAGTAGAAAGTGGTGGAGAACAGCACATTGTTGTACTGTAGATCTATTACCCCTACATCAGTGCTCCTTGTCTTCAACATCCTGCACCAACCAGCATGGTGAAGCATGGTTAAATAAATTCCCCATGACCTACACGGCGAGAGTCGAACCACGTCCAGCAGTCGATGAGTAAAGTGCTGTCTGTAATTTATCGAAATACTTTTGAACGGAACAAATAGCACAGCACGCATATTTGCACAAAGACGTTAAACGGAAAGCCATTAGTGAATTTGCGTTGAAGTCTCATGTGAGTGTTGCGGTTTGGTATTAAAGGTCCAGGCTCTGCTGACCTCCTATGATGGACTTTGCGCCAAAGAAAGTGTGACTGCTCTGCCATGCTTCCTCGTGGGCTTCTCCGGGGATGACGTCGGCGTTGCCCCATTACGCGACTGGGACACCTTCTGGCCACGGCAGGACAAGGTTTGAATGATTAAAAAAAAAGGGCTTTACCCTAACCGGCGTCAATACAGGTGTTGAGACATCCAAACACTAGGCGCCAATTGCAAGGCGTCATGTCTGCAATAACCACACGTACTTGTGGTTAGAAAAACACTAACAAATATGCTTTTGTCATGTGCGCACCGTCCTTGAAACTGATTAGCATGTGGCACAGAGAGCCTCTTTTATGGCTTTGTCTCACTCGTGCCGTTGACCAAAGGCCACCAAAAGGCAATTAGTACAAGGACAGTGCAAACACCAAAGCATTAATAGCTCACGTTAATGGTACCAGTTCTATGGTACCATTTTGCCAATATCAACATTGAATGATACAAAAAAACTGCTTCAGCATTCTCTATTTGGATACTGGCAAAAGGGTCCCATAGCTAGGGCAAGGTTTATTTAAGCCACATGGCCACTTCTCAGGAGTCAAACATGTATTTTTGTTGACATCAACATTCAACCTTCGTGCCCAATGTAATGCTAACTGCTGCAGTTGTTTTGTTTGTGTGTATGTTGAACTTCTTTTGCACCGTACGTAGCCCACTTTGCTCATGAGAGGTGCGGGAAATATTATTTTGTTGGATATATGATTATTTATTTTGATTTAAAGCTTTCGTGACTGCAGGGATTCATATTCTTGTTCTTTCGGTAAAGTCACCTGATGAAGCTAGTTGTAATTACTGGTGAAACGTCGTACTCAGATTGTAAATGTTGTGGCTAGGCTCTCCCAACACACCGGTGTGCTGTACTAGTGACGAATTGACCACGTTCTGTTTACTTGACAACCCTTACTAGTTGGCTGTGTCTGGTGGTGGCGGGTTTTAACGACACATTTATATATTTACGTGATCTAACCCCAAAAAAACCCTCTGTTATGGATGATATTGGTCGCGAAAGCCTACGTGTTAAACTGAGAGAAATGTACAGTGAGGGAAAAAAGTATTTGATCCCCTGCTGATTTTGTATGTTTGCCCACTGACAAAGAAATGGTCAGTCTATAATTTTAATGGTAGGTTTATTTGAACAGTGAGAGACAGAATAACAACAACAAAATCCAGAAAAACGCATGTCAAAAATGTTACAAATTGATTTGCATTTTAATGAGGGAAATAAGTATTTGACCCCCTCTCAATAAGAAAGATTTCTGGCTCCCAGGTGTCTTTTATACAGGTAACGAGCTGAGATTAGGAGCACACTCTTAAAGGGAGTGCTCCTAATCTCAGCTTGTTACCTGTATAAAAGACACCTATCCACAGAAGCAATCAATCAGATTCCAAACTCTCCACCATGGCCAAGACCAAAGAGCTCTCCAAGGATGTCAGGGACAAGATTGTAGACCTACACAAGGCTGGAATGGGCTACAAGACCATTGTAGCACATTCCCCAAAAACACCATCCCCACCGTCAAACATGGAGGTGGAAACATTATGCTTTGGGGGTGTTTTTCTGCTAAGGGGACAGGACAACTTCACTGCATCAAAGGGACGATGGACGGGGCCATGTACCATCAAATCTTGGGTGAGAACCTCCTTCCCTCAGCCAGGGCATTGAAAATGGGTCGTGGATGGGTATTCCAGCATGACAATGACCCAAAACACACGGCCAAGGCAACAAAGGAGTGGCTCAAGAAGAAGCACATTAAGGTCCTGGAGTGGCCTAGCCAGTCTCCAGACCTTAATCCCATTGAAAATCTGTGGAGGAAGCTGAAGGTTCGAGTTGCCAAACGTCAGCCTCGAAACCTTAATGACTTGGAGAAGATCTGCAAAGAGGAGTGGGACAAAATCCCTCCTGAGATGTGTGCAAACCTGGTGGCCAACTACAAGAAACGTCTGACCTCTGTGATTGCCACCAAGGGTTTTGCCACCAAGTACTAAGTCATGTTTAGCAGAGGGGTCAAATACTTATTTCCCTCATTGAAATGCAAATCAATTTATAGCATTTTTGACATGTGTTTTTCTGGATTTTTGTTGTTATTCTCTCTCTCACTGTTCAAATAAACATACCATTAAAATTATAGACTGATCATTTATTTGTCAGTGGGCAAACGTACAAAATCATCAGGGGATCAAATACTTTTTTCCCTCAATGTATGTTATCAACCTCTCAAATGGTAAAAAATTAACACCATTTGCCACTATTGAATTTCAGTTCCAGTATTTTATCAATGTTGCTGTATGTAAGTAATGTGAAGATTGTGGATTTTGAAAACCGTTTGCAGGCAATGGTGGCTGTGTACGATCCGTGCACGCTACAGCAGCACCCGGGGTGGCCACTAAGGAATCTCCTCATTCTTCTGGCACACAACTGGTATGAGACAAACGTGAACAGCAATGCATTGTTGTTATTATCGTGTAAACAGACGTTGGGACTATGACTGCGTAGAGTTTCACGGTTGTGCAGCATAGCTCTCCAATATGTTTTCGAGTTGCACCGAGGGTTGTTCGGCATGATGTCCGACGTTTCACTCCACGTGCTGGGAGCTTCAGGAACTGGAGTTGTAAGCTGTCGGGAATGTCATACTTCCTTAATTATAAATATTGGCCTTTGCCGTGCCATTGCACAGAGATTGGTGGTACACGCAGAAACAACCACCTCCCAGTGTTCGTTGATACTCTCCATTCAACGTTTTACCACCACACCCCACCCCTCGACCCCTGCCAGCACATTTATTCCAGATAAATTTTTGTCTCATCTTTACCATCATATTTTTTATGTTTGTAGTTTTGTTTTTTCCTCTGTACAATTTCATTCCCCATAGCACAAATACTCTTTGAGCATATCATTTGCACACAAAATAATTTTCCCAAGTTGCATGTAACTTGTACAACTTGTAAATAATTTATTTTCATGCACAATTCAACGAATGTGACATCAGCCATAGAATACACTGCAATCAATGAGTTGGTCCATCAGCACATGCCTAGTTGATACCATTGACCAATGAGATGCTCACCAGCCTTTGGTAGTGCTGTCATTACCCTGGGTCCAGGTAACTTTCTGTGGATTTCCTTGTCACTTTGTCACTACTGGAGGCTCATCTGCCTTTGAAAGTTGTACTACTCTAGATATCCAACAATCTTAAGGCTACGCTTCTGTAGCAATTACTTTAATTTGACTTCTGCTCATAATGTTGCCCCACGCCAATAACAAGGATTTATGGAACAGACCTCGGAGGGTTGTTATAGATTTGTAGCAGCTGCAGCAGCTTGCAGGAGATATCTTTTAAACAAAGTGTCATGAATTGCATTGGTCATGACGACTTATTGACCTTGACCTTTGTTTCTGAGCAGGGGGCCCTCTCTGGAGTCTCTGGAAGTGCTGTGCTTTAGGGACCGAATAACCCAAGGTGTCAGAGACATCACTCACAGCATCGTCCTCACCATTAAGATGACTTCAATTGCAGATATTCCAGGTGTGTACAATGCTTTCATACAATTAAAGTTGGAGTTTTCTTTATATATTCAAAATGCGGCCACATCTCGGTGCACTCTACAGAAACATCGGGCATATTTATTTTATAGAGAGTGATGGTCCTGCCATGGACGGAGGGAAAAAGGAAGGTCTTCAGCCTTGGCTTAAATATAGAGTGAGGGAGTAAACAGCACAGGTGACTTGGGGAAGGGGATTCCATGCTATGGGGACAGCAGTGGGGAATCGGAGAATTCCTATTGAGAGAAATTTCGATCAGGGGCTTGGCCAGAGAATCTTGGTTCCTGGAGCGAATAGTGCGTAAGGGAGGGGAGTACAGTGAGAACAGAGGGCACCGATATCCAGATTGCCTCATTTCTGAGTCATGCTCCCCTTAATTGAAAGTTCAGTACTCTATGTCCTAAATGTGTACAACTACCAGGATTGTACATTATGAGAGGGCATGATTGTGAGAGTATGTGCATGCCGCGTTGGCGAGATGTTATGTCCCTCGCCTGGTATGTAGGAGGTAATGGGTTCAATCCCGACCCTGATACCTGTATATTTTTGAGTATGCGTGTTCTCCCCGTGGTCGTGTGGATTTTTCTCCAGGTCCTTCGTTTTTTCCCTCCACATTTAGGAAGATGTTCTTAGAGTATTTGGCTGTTATAAATTTCCACGCAAAAAGCCACTTCTTTGAGCTATTATTTGTGGCCAGGTCACTTCTGAAAAAAGAGCTGTACAGTTCACTGGTCTTCACTTGGTAAAATTAAAATAATTAGGTATTTACCGAAGAAGGCCAGTCGGCCAAAACGTCGAACTATTCCTTTTTTCTCAGTAAGAGTGAAGGACTCCTGATACTATTTAAACTTTTAACCCGTAAAATCGTGTACACGTTTACAGAAACGCCAACCTTGATGCCTTCGCTGCAACACTCAAGTAGACATCAGCTCCTTTTCTGAACGGTTTTTGCTTGTAAAGTACACACAAATATAAGGTTTTTTTTGTGGACAGACGGCTGTTTTATGGGCTGGTGAGTGACAATGGAAATCGGGTATGACATCTTGTATTTTTAATGATTGGGGTCAGGTGGTCCAAAGTGTGTTGGCTGGGAGAAAAACCAGAAGGGAGTTCTTGCCCCAAGGATGGTGAACTTGAGCGACTCCATGGACCCAAAGAGGTACAGAACCTCTTCTGCCTTTGCGAAAGGGGTAGTGTTTCACGGGTTCCCACTGGGTTAATTTCATCTGCTGATTAAATAAAGGATCCTGACTGATACAGTATTACTATCTTAACATTATGTTTCATACATTATTTTGGGTAAGGTCGCGTAATGGTGCGGTCACATTTGTTTCGTTAAGACTCCGCCATATTCATGCAAATTATTCTCTTCAACTTAACTACTGAGCTGACACAATAATGATGTGTATGTACTTAATCGCTTGTACGCCGCGTGACAGTTACATTTGTTTGGCCTCGTCGGGTGGTGGAGGGCCTAAACAACACAAATTCTGCCAAATCATTGCGGCCCCAAAAATCTATCGCGAGTGTAAATAATAACAACAATAACATACATGCTCTGGCCTTGTCACCACCGATATCTCTGGGCTGTTCATTTCATGACGCTGCCGCATTCCCGAGCCACAATTCCTCGCCACGCAAAGCCACCAGTGTACCGGGGGTTTGGCGTCGGGTAACGTTAACACGCGTGTTCCAGGCTGGCAGAGTCGTCGGTTGACCTGAACCTCAAACTGATGCGGTGGCGGCTGGTGCCCTCATTGGACCTGGAGGCCGTGTCCACTGCCCGCTGCCTGCTGCTGGGAGCGGGAACCCTGGGCTGCAACGTGGCCAGGACCCTGCTGGTACCGTAGCGCCCAGACCCGCGCTGCCACCCGCTCTATGCGCTCGTGCATCGTGCGCGCCGCTCACCGAGTCTTGTTACTAAAGATTGCCCGATTCATAATCGTCTTCTTTTGGGTTGGATCGCGTGTGCGTATCTGTGGTTATGTTGATGTTCACTGCATTGCAGTCGTTTTTTTTATTTTCCATTTATTCTTTTCGTGTGTTCCATTAGCCAACCATGCTCATGTCAATGTTTAACTATAACCCTCCGCCACCCGATTGGGCCAATCAAATCAAGTTGTCACGTCATGGGCAAATGTGCCACTTGATTTAGTTTATCAGCGAAGCCGAAATGTGGAAAAGCATACACGATATAACCCAAAATAAACTAATTACGATTCATAATATTGGTCACAAAAGAACTGTATTCATTTCGGATTTTTTTTTTTAACTATGACTTTAGTTTTGCTCTTCCAATTATTATTACATCCGCAACCAAATAACTCGATTGAACGACGCACATGTGGTTCGAAGCTTTCGTGACTGCAAGAATTACTCTTTGTTTTTTTCGGTAAAGTCACGTATAAAAAATAACAATAGCGTACGACGTTTCGGTTACAACACAAGCAGCCATCATCAGGTACAGAAGAGCTAAATTTACGAGAGAGAGGAAACACATAACCCCAGATGTATATACAGACACCCAAGTAGGGGGGAACTAACACAGATACAACAGGGTACAACAGAGAGAGAAGCATACCCAAACAATGAGGGTTTAGCAAAATTTGGAAACCTTATAAAGCAACACAGACGGTCGGTCAAAACACAATTAACGCATAGTCTGGTTGATTACGCGATTTCAAAGATTGTTAAATTGCAAGTTAAGTATGAAATTTAAAATACAGACCGCGCACACACACATAGACATCCAAGTAGAGTGAACCAGCACAGAGACACGCACACAGTGAAGTCGCCTTAAATAGGCAGAGAAGGTGAGGCTGAGAGACAATGGGACAAATTAGCATGAGGTAAGCATGGAGCAAAGGGGGCGCGGCAGCACACACTCGGAAACACCAAGGCCCACACACAGGCAGAGACAGCACAGAGACACAAATCCAAGCCAAGACACAAAGGCAGATGCACAAGCGGAGACAACACAAAGACACAGACCTCATACCTCCCCGTAGAGGTGGTTCAGACTTGATTCAAAGCTTTCGTGACTGCAAGAATTACTCTTTGTTTTTTTCGGTAAAGTCGGTATTGGTGTACAATGTGGAGGTTGTTTTTATTATTCGAACCAAGGGAGCGGGATCGGTGGGGGTTTGTTGCGAGGAGTTTAAGGATTCACCCCCACCCACAGCGAGTCCATGGATTGTCAATTATTTGAGGTCATGATTGGATTCAAGGATTAATAATTTTCATGTTTTGTTTGTATTGTGTCGTTTGTGTTATTTGTCTCGTTCGTACTTTTGTACATCTTTTCCCCTCGTTTGTATTTGTCTTTATTATTTGTACTGCCCATCACGTTGGTACGGTCTGTGTTGCTTATACAGTCCCAGTTACATTAACCGTCTGGTTTGCATTGTCTGTCTCTATTTTTACACGCTTTTATTTAACTCACTCCGTCTGTTGTATCCTCAAAAAAGAAATCTTGTAACTCAATTTTTACCCACTTCCCAATGTGCTATCGACTGCAAACTTGAAATACCTATGTCATACTGATGACAATACTGTATTCTATCATAAAAAACATATATTTTTACATTTTACACACTTTTATTTAACTTACTCTGTGTGTTGTCGTATCCTGAAGTCTTGTAACTCAATTTCAACCGTATTCCCAATGTCGTATCGACTGCAAACTTGGTATAGGTATGTCATACTGATGACAATACTATATTCAATCATTAAACATTTTAAATATATATTTTTAAACAATCTTTATTACGGCTCTAATTGTCCACGTTTATGGCTCTAATTGTCCACGCTCAACTCACGTTGCCTGTAAATCACCACGGTCCCTTACGTTACGGCAAGCCTCGGGGAGCCACGCCGAGGGGCGGGGGATGTGGAAGGAGGGGAGGGGCGATGGGGGAAGGGGGAGGGGCAGCTCGGACAGTTCATTTCCTTAAAGCGTTTTTTTTAAAGTATTTTTAAATATTTTATTACCTACGTGACTTTACCAAAAGAACCAAAGAGTATGGATCATTGCAGCCACTAAAACTTCAAATCTAGAAATTGTCTGTCTCGTTTGTAATGCATTGCAGTCTCTTTTTAATTTTCCATTTATTCTTCGATGTATAACATTAGCAACATCAACATATAAATCTACACGAATCCTAAATAATCGGTTCTTACACACGCGATTCAATGTATGCATCGTGATTGAATTAATCAATTTCACCAATTGAATCGACGCATCCATTCCGTTACATGCCCTTGTTGTTACCCCATGACCTGGGTCTGTTCCCCACAGCCATGGTGCCGGTTGGTCACCTCTCCCCCCCCCCCTCTCTGACCACCGCACGCATGTGCCTGGCCGTTGACGTGCAGGGATGGGGCGTGCGTCACATCACCTTCGTGGATAACGCCCGGGTGTCGTACTCCAACCCAGTGCGGCAGACGCTCTACGAGTTTGAGGACTGCCTCGGTGGCGGGAAGCCCAAGGCGCAGGCTGCGGCCGAGCGACTGCGCCGAATCTTCCCAGGCGTCGTGCGTGATGACCCCCGCCGCCACCTCTCTCTCTCACTACCACCTCCATCCTCCTCCAAAAAATACAAAGATTCCAACCCCCCCCCCCGTAAAGACTTAACGGGCTGTTGGACCAAGCGCTGTTAGCCAGCTCCTATGAAGGCCGGCACGGCGCACGAGGGCGATGGGTGGCCAGCGCCGCGCCCGGCAGCCTTTGTGCCCCCAGTGCTGTCGTTTTCCACCACACCAGGCTGAGTTGACGTAGGGGAAGCCCAGAAGTTGCTCACACATTTTCTACCGTCATTGGTCATGAGCGACAATCGACCTCGGATCGCCGTGTTCACAGTGCAGTGCCCTAACCACGACACTACCGATCCCCACCTCCTGCAAGCACACATAGACACATGCATATATGTGATTTATTTCACCCAGGTGAGAGCCAGTTGAGACACCATTTTTCCGCTGGCACATCCGAGCCCCACTGACACGAGGTCTTCATTGTATATATGGTTTTCCACCAGCTATTTGCCAAGTCCAGCCAGAACCAAACCGTGAAACTCTGGTTCACTTGGCATCAGTATCTGTCCCGGGGGTCTAACAGGGCCAGGAAAGGCTTTAAGAACCCTCATTGCACGTTACATGTTCGTCATGCGTTGCATTGACAGGCTCCTTGTTCGTTGTGTGTGACATTATCAACACAGCTTGGATTCTACAGCAGTGAAACAACATGGTCTTTGAGAATAGGTTTTCACCTTTTTTCTGGCAACAAAACAGGTGTTGAGATGTTAAAAACACCAAACTGAAGCCTCTTACAAGGAATCATGTCTGCATTAAATTTCGATTTAAAGCTTTCGTGACTGCAATGATTCATCTTCTTTGGTTCTTTCGGTAAAGTCACGTAGAATGAGAATAAAATAATAAATTGATAAAATAAAATAACACAATAATATTCTCACGACGTTTCGGCCACAACACAAGCGGCCTTCATCACCTGATATTCTCACGACGTTTCGGCCACAACACAAGCGGCCTTCATCAGGTGATGAAGGCCGCTTGTGTTGTGGCCGAAACGTCGTGAGAATATTATTGTGTTATTTTATTTTATCAATTTATTATTTTATTCTCATTCTACGTGACTTTTACCGAAAGAACCAAAGAAGATGTCTGCATTAACCACAATGCTTGTGGTCAGAATGCAAACCAAAAGCATACTCTGATAATATATGCATTGTGTTTGAAACTGATTGGTCCACACCAAAGACAGCTTTCTTTGGAGCCTAGTCTCAAAATGGTGTTGCCCGCATTCTGACCACAAGTATTGTGGCTAACGCAGACATGATTCCTTGTAAAAGGTTTCAGTTTGGTGTTTTAACACCTCAACACCTGTTTTGTTGCCAGAAAAAAGGGGAAAACCTATTCTCATATTTTGGTACTGGCAAAGGAGGTCCCATGATGTAACATGCTCTTTGCTGAGCTTCGCCAGGCTACCCCCGCACGGGCCCGGCACGGCTCTGTTGTTCAGTGGAAAAATAGGTATGAAAGTCTCTCTTTCACAGACGACTAAACTTATTTCAGAGGTCACCTGGCCACAAATGGTAACTCAATGAAGTGGCTTATCAAATGGAAATTTATAGTAGCCAAATACTCTAAAACGCACGTTTCTAAATGTGGAGGGACAAACTGGAGGACCACGGAGAGAACACGCAGATTCCAAACATACTGGCGTCAGGGTCGGGATAAACCCCACGAACCCTGTAAATGAGGCGAGGGAAATAAGACCACGCCACCGTGACTGGATGTCACAAAGCAATAGAGTATCGACGTATATCGAGGAACCACCATTAGCATCCAAGCAAAACCACCATAGATAAGGATGGGTTTGCCTACAATTTGCCCTGCGTTCGCCCAGGTCTCGGAGGGTCTCTCGCTGAGCATCCCCATGCCTGGCCACGCGGTGGGCTCGTCGCCGGAGGCTGAGGAGCAGGCGCGCAGGGACACGGCGGTGCTGGAGAGGCTCGTGAGCGAGCACGACATTGTCTTCCTGCTCATGGACACACGGGAGAGTCGCTGGCTGCCCACTGTGCTGGCCGCGAGCAAGCACAAGGTGCGTGCCCACCCCCACGCATGCTATAATATTATGAAACTATTTTGTATTTTACCCATTGAGCTGTCTAGCTCTTTTTCAGAAGCGACCTGGCTGTCACAAATAATAGCCCAGTGAAGTGGCTTATGTGGAAATTGATAGCAACCAAATACTCTAAAGGCATGTTGATTCTAAATGTGGAGGGAAAAACCGTAGGACCTGGAGAAAAATCCACCCGACCACGCAAAGGGCACACAAACTCCAAATGTACAGGGCATCAGGGTCGAGATTCCACCCACGACCCTCTGTACACCAGGCGAGGTAGTTAACATCTCGCCACTGTGATGCCACACACTCAACATCGCGGGTGGAGAGTCCCATGTCCACCAGCTCTTAGGTTAGACGTGTCCCCGCTATGCTTGGTTAAATTCAGACCTCCCTCTTCCCCCATAAAGTAATTTGCTGAATTTCTAACATTTGGAGCCCACGAATATGTTCAGCAATTTTTTTGTCCATTTAGTACAGTCCCATTTTTTACGTGTTTTCCTATCTCCTTCGTACAGTTTTGTTTGCTTCATTAGATTGAAGGTAAATGGAAAGGTGCAGCCCTGCAATTGCCTCACCACACCGTTGCATGCCGGAGAGCGAGCCTCCGCTGGAGGGAGCTGTGGAGAATCCCTCCAGAGAGGGTATTTGGCCTACTCTTCCATGCTGCTCAGATGCCTCTGAAGAGATAGGAGTACCCACACTTTACCTCACCAGACGTGACCTGCTGAACGACTTAAAAAAAAAAACATTTGATTGAAGTAACATGGTTCCACTTCACAGGTTTTCAACTCATTAGTACATTCTTCTTCACTTCGTTAGCTTGTATGCATAAGCAATGAAATCATCAACATGCTCTCGTAACTTTGGAATAAACTATTCTCATGTGCACGCTTCGAGGTATGTATCGTGGATGTAAGTATCTAGATTAATCCAACAGTTGCCGCATTGTTAATTACACGCCTCATGCCTCGTGTCCAGCTACCCGTCTCTTCATCCTTTGCGATTCCGCGTGCCTCTCCGCTGTGTCGAGCCGTTGAAATAAGTCAACTGTGCCTCTGCACCTGCTCGCCCCGTCAAGACAACTTGTTGTGTCTATGCCTTTATACGTCTTGACGTTTGTTTTTAAAACAAGCCACGATGTCTCTATTACAAATGACGATATCCAATTATGCTTCTTCTAATCTCCCCGCACAAAGTGATCTTCTTTGATGGCAGTTTTGAGGGAAACTAAAAAGCAAAAATGCACACTGTGAAGTTATAAAGTTACAATAAATGACTGGTTAATTAAAAATAACAGTGATTTTTTTTTTTTACAATTCCTGAGAGGAAATAATGATCATCGCAGTCAGCTGAAATTTCAAAATTTCTGTGTGTCCATTAAGCATCTAAAGAATCGCCTTCAAAAATATCTATGAAATCATAATTAGTCAAAACTCAATTAGTCAAAACCTAAAAATAATTTCCCCCCTCTTTTTTTTTACATAATAAGAACACAAATAAGAAAATAAAACCACGTGATTGTTTTTTTATATGAACCCATTACATAAAAGCAAACCGAATGAACCTTCGCTGTGTTGTAAATTTCCTTGTTCACAGCGTCCCATGCGCAGAGGCGGAACTAGCAACTTTTTAAAAAATGTATCCTACTTGAATATTATTTTGAAATGTATATTAAATGCATTTCCTCTACTAGATATCAATAAAATAACACATTTTCAGGGACTCAAGTTGAGGGGGAGGGTGGACCATCACCCCTCTCACCCTCCATGGGTCCACCACGGCACATGAGTCCACAGCTCTCGTCTGCATTCTACGTAATCGTCACAGGACCATGATGGACGACTCTGAGAGGCCTTCACGCATTAGTCGATCGACCCTTTCCAATGACGCTAACGGTGGCGGTGTCGTCGCCTGTCGTGTGCCGTAGCTGGTGATCAACGCTGCCCTTGGCTTCGACACGTTCGTGGTGATGAGGCACGGCCTGAAGGCAGCTAGGGAGGACCCAGGAGACACACTCGGGAGTCTCGGCGCCGCCGCCGCCGCCGCCACCACCTCATCGCTCTTCTCGGACATCCCTGGCCACCGGCTCGGCTGCTACTTCTGTAACGACGTGGTGGCGCCTGGAGACGTGAGAGGCTCTCTCGTGAAGCGAGAACGCGACGGGGATGAGTATCGAAATTAAAAGAGCTTTATAGCGCATCGGATTCCTCCGGTGTAAATAAATATACTGGTCCTGATTTTTAAAATTCGGTTAGATCGCGTAAATATAAATGTGCCGATAACCCGGCACCTCCCGACACAGGCAATTGGTAAGGTTTGTTATGGAAACAAAACGTGCCAATTAGTTACTACTTGAGCACACATCGGTGTATTGGAAAGTAAATCCACAACATTTACAATGTGAGTATGACATCACTGGTGATTACAACCAGTTTCATCAGGCGATTTTCCAGAATTGTATAGGGTGGTGGCAGGTTAACGACGCATTTTTGTGATCTAACCCAACAAACGTTCGTTATGGATAATATTGCTCGCGAAAGCCTCTGTGTAGCCGTACCAGAGTTGAAAAATCTAAACAAATAATAGGGTCCCTCTACTTATATGGTTAATGTGGCGAGTATTACCTTTTTAGAAAGTTGTAGAACTTCCATATTACTATGGCAGGCATCTGCTTATAGAATGACCTGCTGTTTGGGTGTAAGTGTGATTGATTTGCACCTCCAATGAGCACGGTTGGCTACGTATGGTGAAAAAGAAGTTCAACAGGCACACATACATTGATATGTCGTTCATTTCCAAATTCGGTCTAAACTTTCTTTGGATTATTTTGAAAAAGTTCAAAGATCCCGTGACTCATTCGGAGAGAGTAGGCTGTTGTGTGTCAACGGCGTCATGGTCCACATTTGTGTAAAAAAAATTAAAAGTACCCACAAATTACTCGATTGTGATTACACGGAGCAACGTCGCTCCCTGCTGACAGACTATATCCATCCGTGAAACAAAGCACCATTTTTATTCCGTGACAGCTCTGCTCTTTAATAATGACGCGAATATCAAGTGTACGACATTAATTATCGTCATAGTTATTGTTGTCATTCCTGTTATTATTATTATTATCCACGAGCAGTCAACGAGAGACCGCACCCTGGACCAGCAGTGCACGGTGAGCCGGCCGGGCCTGGCCATGATGGCTGGAGCTCTCGCTGTGGAGCTCATGGTGTCCGTGCTGCAGCATCCAGAGAGGTACGCCCTTGTGCTGCGGCTGGTCAGCCGGACCAGGCCCGACAGCGTTCTTCACGGAATAATACGCGATACAGCGGTGCATTTCACGACATGACCGTCATCGTAATGTCCCTCCCATCATTACCTATTTTCCCATGTTCCCATAATGTATGTGTTTGCATGTTGAACTTCTTCCTCGCCGTGCGTAGCCAAACTGTGCTAATCGAAGGTGCGGGGGAAGGACAAGAAACTAAACACAGCCTCGCTCAATCCAACAAACGTGTTAACTCTTATCGATTATTCTTAAAGTAGTCCTGGTCCTTGCTGGCCGCTTGGCAATCTTAGACCTTTGGGCCCGACGATTATAGTGATAGCGGTTTTTGATTACATTGTATTTTCACGTGTCATGTAATGATTTGTTTGTGCTTTGTTGCACGTTATGTGCAAATAAATACTTGCTTTCAAGTCATTCTGCTGCAGTTCACGCAACATAAACCTCCCGTAAGTCGTCAAATCATTGTGACTTTGCAATCTGTAACACTTATAATGGTACACGCTGCCAAAAAATGATGACGTCATATTACCACCATGCAGAATCAGAATCACAATCTTTATCTCGACTGGAGAAATCCGATGAGCTATGAAGCTCTTTTTCTACAGAAGTCCAGTAGCACAGTTACTCCAGAAATCGTTTTAAAACGCATTAATTTAACGAGCATAAGCTTTATATTTATTATTATTGTGTCCCTTAATTATTATTAACGTATACTATGGGTTTTTGTAGCCAATACTGCGTACGATCCAAATTTGTTTTGGATCGGGCCACGTATTTATTTTGACAGTTCTTGTCGTTAACTCTCCACCACCAAAACATTTTATCGCCTTCACACAGATATTATTATTATTACTCCGTATTATTTATACGTGGCCAGTGCATTGGTCACATTCTGACCGATACCGCTCCTCCTCACCGATCGCCCTGAGACTCTTTGTTCCCGAATTCAACAACATACAACGACATTCCGCTCAGACTGTTGTGAGATACTCCAAGGTGATTCTCCCAGAAATGCATTTGCTCAAATTTCATGCATATTTTGTGGGGAAATAAAATGTTTGAGTCGATCAACGGCCATCAGGTCATCGTGGCACTTAACAAAGTGGGCCGTTCAGTTACGCTACATCGTACGATACGTGTCTCGGTGTCGCCACGGCGTGTGAGTTCTCGTGATGACCCTTCCCCTCCCCTCCGTCTCCGCGCCATCGCCCAACCCTCGTGCATCTGAGCCTCTCGTCAGTCCACCTGGGAAGGGACGCGAGTCGCTCATTGATCTCCGTGCCGTTACAGGGGCTACGCCTCGGCCAGTGTGGGCGATGACCGCATGAACGAGCCCCCGACGCCGCTGGGTTTGATACCACACCAGGTGCTGCTTGCGTCTGCTTGGCTTGCTGTGCTGTGTGACGTGCGCTCGCGTACGTATGTCGAACTTCTTACGCACCGTATGGAGCCAACCGTTGCTGATCGGAGTTGCGCACGGACATACGTGTGTATACGTACGTGCAATAGAAATTGAGGGTTTGTCTTGCCGGTGGTGTGCACGCACACATCAATCACCTATGCTTACCGTGCATTCATTGATAACACTGCCATATAAGATAAGAAAATGACCCAAAGTGAGCTCGATCAGCTATCGGAAGCTGTACCGGTCTCCCATGCGTTTGCGGATTTTACCGCGTATTGTTCGGCGCGATGTCTGGCGTTTCGCTTCACGCGCTGGGAGCGTTAGTTCCTGAAGAAGCTCTCGGCTTCAGTTCCTGAAGACGCTCCGATCACGTAGAGCGAAACTTCAGACGTAATTCTGAACAACGCAGTACAGTTATCTCTCTGTCTCGCTGCTGCCTGTCAGTCTGTCACAGTCACATTTGCTCAAATTTGTTTGATGGTGGCCGAAGACACGAGGACCACAATGCAGTTCTCCAGTACCTCTCGGTGGCTTTTGCACAATGCACACGGCTGAGTGCTATTTGCTTGAAACACGGTACGAGTTCATGAGCCTTGACCAGATGTTTCACGTGTCGGTACCACCTGAAGTAGCACTTTAGCGGTTCCAATGTCGTTGTGACCAATAGCAATGAAGTATAGGATTACCATTTGAAATCAGTGGGTTATAAAATAATCGACTCTCATTAGCCACGTAAATAAAGTGGAATTGCTAAAGTTTTGCTACCTTATGTGGTACCAATATCTACTCTGGCCCAAGGACCATCGATACATATATAGTTGACCAATGTTATCCATAATGCAGGTTTTTTTTTGGGTTAGATCACGTAAATATAACCCCCCCCCCCAAAAAAAAAAATCACCTGTATTATGCATATATAGTAAGCACAAGCCTCCGGTAAATCATATGACTTATGCGTAGCCACCACTACTCTGGATTTCTTCCCTGTCCCCGCCCCCTGTGAAAGCAAATCTGCTTGTTCCTTCTGCCTCTCCCTCCCATCACTGTCTCATCCCCGACACATTGGCCCAGTCATTCATTCCCCCCCCCACCTCCCCCTTGCGCCTGGCGTTTCTTCTCTCTTCCTTGGTGCTCATCCTGTCATCCTGAACCGTGCCCCTCTTTTTCTTGTGGACTTCGTCCCAGCGTTCCTTTCACTGCTCCTCTTTCCCGTGGTGGCTGTCACTGATTGGCAAGGAGTTCACGCGAACCGAATCGGGGCGGTGTTGTTTCTACACCAGGTGGCGATGTCGGCCACAGCCAAGACAGAGACGAAGCACTGTACAAGGGGCGTGTGTCTTTTGTCAATACTTTGGCTGCTTTACAACAAAAAAAACATGTGCACACAAATGCGTGCACACCCATGGCGATTGTATATAAATACACAAGAGGCGGCTAAGAGTGCGGCAAAGAGAATGCGTCAGAATTGTACGTGCAGTTTTTCTTTTTCACTGCACTGCAGTCCCAAATGCGGCAACATGAACATGCTGATATCTGAAAGGAAAAAAACAACTAAAAGCTTCACGATGGTTTGGTCAAAACTTTTTTCGTCTTTTGTTTTCTCAACAATTATATTTGGCAATATATTAATTCAGGGATGGTGGTGGTGCAGTGGATAGCACCCAGCGCTTTCAAGCCATAAAACCTGAGTTCGATTCCTGGCCACAGCCAACACCAGTGGTATCTAAACCAGCCAGTCCTGGGCCACTTCCCCCCCCCCCCCTCATCACCAAAACGCAGCGAGCAGCGTGGTGAGGTATGGCCAAAATAACCCTCGTGGCCAACGCAGGGCTTCGTCTTGCTGTGGATTGTCATGCCACTGAATTATGTTATTAACTTAATATATTGATGAAACAAGTATATAGGAACAGAGTGAAATATTGAAATGTGTTCACCGTTGCTTGTGATGTCACTTAACCTCCCTCCCATGGTTCCCTTGCACCAGGGACTTGGGAGGTCTCCAGAGGTATCTCACCTGGTCAAACAAAGTCAACGAATGTATGAGCTTGTAGTGACTCGTCGCTGACATCAACACAGTGCGATACAGAGGACACAGCACAATGTTTGGATCACCGTTGCTCTCTGTATCTCGTTTCCAGATTCGTGGTTTTCTATCCAGATTTGACCACGTGCTCCCTGCCAGCCTGGCCTTTGATAAATGCACTGCCTGTTCAGCTACAGTAAGTAAATCTGGGCTTAGAGAAAGAGAGAGAGAAAGACACTCACACATGCACGAGCACAACAGCGACTTTTGCTGCCGGTGCACTTTTCCACTTAGTGGGGGGGGTTTTTTTACTTATAAAATCTTTGACAAAAAGTGTAAAACCATACGAAAAAAACTGTTCCTATAAATGAAATAAATGTGCTGTTTAACATACAGATGTTTTAAAATTGTACTTAATGGACATTTTATTACCATCATTTCCGTTTTTATAATTAGCATCATTTCTCCCTGGCCATCTCTGCCGCCTCCAAAAAAGTGCCGCGCAAAAAATTTAGGCTGCGCCCACTGCCGATGTAGCGAATCAGACCCTGCGAGCTCCGTTCATTCCCCTGCGCGGGTGCATTTGCAAGGCACTCGGAAAAGCAGGTGGTCCCATTTGTTCCACATGGTAATCTGGGTTACTTTGGTGCTATTCTATCACTAGGACCAAGGTCAGCATCGATGTTCTTCTGCCCTTATTCACGACGCTCTGCGCGACTGCGAGAATATTCCCGATAGGGCGTTTGAATGTTCCCTACATTTTGTCCTTGGGCCACTTTGATTAAAGGGATGCTGCTGCTGCTGTTGTGTAATGGTTCGCCCACTGGATTTGTTATTCCGATGCACGGCAATTTAAACGGTGGGACACTTTCTTAAATCCTCCCCGCATCTGCCCACACAGCAGTATTAATGGGCTCACCACAGTTGTATGTATGTATGTTGAACTTATTTTGCGCTGTACGTAGCCAACCATGCTAATCAGAGGTGCGACCGCTCAACAATTAGTTGAGCGGCAGGTTGCATGTGCTGGGATAGAGTGTGGATACTTTCACCTATTCTCAGATGCCTGGCCAGTGTAAAAAGTAGGTCAAAATATCCTCTAGAGGTGCTCTCTAGAGCCACATCTAGAGGTGGAGGCCCTGCCACCAGCAATGGTGTGAGAAAGCCATTGTAGGGTGGCACCTTTACTTCGGGTGAAAGTATCTTCAGCTCTCATGGACATGATAAAGGTTTAATCCCAAACATTAAATGTGAAAACATAGGAGCATCAGGTCGTCCGGGTTGTTTGACCTTACTTCACACTGATCAGTGAGGGAGAGATTAGAACGGCAGTGGATTTTGCTGCACTGACCTCTGCTGCCCGTAATAACTACTGCACCTGTTTTTTTGGGTATCAGTGGTCACCCATCCAAGCACTTTTCTCGGCTCAACACTGCTTAGCTTCCAAAGTCTGAAGACTGGGCATACTCGGGGTGAATTGGTCATAGGAACGTGTCGTGGATGTGCTTTTCGACTCTCGGTTTTAATCCAAACAATCCAAAAATCGAGCCTAGGTACAACATTTTAAATTACACAAACAGGTCCCTGCAGGGTGGGCTGGTAGGACACGTCTCTGCGCTGTCTATTGCTGATTTTACACCCAACAGCACGAGATTTCACTTCGTTAAAGTATTGAAAGGGGACGGACGGACGGACAGACGGACACATTAATCTATTGCAGGCTGGTACACTCAGTTTACAACTTCGTTCCTACCAGTAAAACATGCCTTGACAGGAAGTGACGTCCCTTTATGTGCCATCACAGGAACTGAAGTCACTTTCAGGCCATCTCTTCTGTGGTTTTCTCGCCAAAATTATATTACGTGACATCAGGTGATGTCTACTCTTTGGTTTTATTCGGTAAAGTCACGTAGGTAAAAAATAAAACAACAAAAAATCACGACTTTTCGGCCACAACACAAGCGGCCTTCATCAGGTGAAGGGACCAGGCTGTCTCGAGGACAGCGCTGGAGTGGAACACAGTCACGCTCAGACCGCGACCTTTAAGCTGTGTGCGAGGAAACAAGGTGCCTTGACAAAGGAATTAGCATAAAAATTAGCATTTGATTGGCCGACTTAGCATAGAGGTGGTGTACGTGCGGGTGAACATGCCGGTTGGCGTGGGGGGAGGAGGTGGAGTTTACCTATTGATGGTGTGAAAAGGGAATTTTTAAGAGATGCGAAAGTTTGGGGTACCACTACTTGAAAAATATACTGTACCACTCCAGCGTTGTCCTCGAGACAGCCTGATCCCTTCACCTGATGAAGGCCGCTTGTGTTGTGGCCGAAACGTCGTGATTTTTGTTGTTTTATTTTTTACCTACGTGACTTTACCGAATAGAGTATGGATCCTTGCAGTCACGAAAGCTTTAAATCTAGAATCAGGTGATGTCACCACGGTTAACACGGAGACATTTTAAACTGGCACATCACAAAAACACTATTCCAGTACAAGAATAAAATCCCAAATTGTCATGCAAAAATACAAAGCCTTTAAATCTGAAACTGCAAGTGTACATTTTTAGCCATGCTGCGCGTACATTCGTGCCTTTCGCCAGGGGTGTTCAGTGGCTGTGTTATAGAGTAGGCATTTCCATTGAGTGGCAAGTCCCTTGGGTAGCCTGCCGCATTGTATAGTTACACGTGGGCAGAACCAGGGGGATAGCTTGAGGGGAATAAGGCCTCTGATGTGCGTGGGCAGGTGTGTGCTGTACAAGGGAGCGTGCTGTGAATTTCGTGGGGGGGGGGTGGGGTTGGGGAGTGGGGAATCCCATTCACTTTAAGTTACAAAACTCACATTTCGTAGAGCTTTTTGTACTATTGTGTACAATCTCTTGAGTGACAATGTCTGGCTTTGTGCCTAGCGGTAATGTGCTGATAATGTTCAACTGGCACTACCCTGTGAGGGCATTATTTTCCTTTTACAAAACAAGCCGTTGCACTATTAGGGGTGGACTAGTGGCGCCACGGTTAGCACACTGCGCGGCGATGTTCACCCCGGCAACCTGGTTTCGATTGCAGTGCACGGCTATCATCAGTGACGAGTGTTATCTGAACCGTGGGGTGTCCTCGACCCAGCTTTAGATTGAGAAATAAATATATTCTCTATTTTCATAATTATAGCTACACTTTCATCGAATTTAGTTGTTGTTGCACTTGTTTTATTATCATAGGCCCAAAGGCCTCGTATGCCAAGCAAGCAAACAGCGCTGCTGAAGGATTCATACATAAGAGTTTAAAACTAAAACTATAACAATATATACATTTTATTTTTAACACTGAGCTACATAGCTCTTTTTCAGTGGCTTATCATGTGGAAATATATAATAGCCAAATACTCTAAACGATGTTTCTAAATGTCGAGTGAAAAATCGAAGGACCCAGAGAAAAAAATCCATGCCACCATGGGGAGAATATCAAAACCACAAATATACAGGTGTCAGGGTTGGGATGGAACCCACAACCTCCTGCATACCAGGTGAGGGAGTTAACATCTTCGCCTCCATGGCGAGGTGTTAACACACCTCCTAAATCGAGCAAGGCAGTAAGAACTTGGAAAAAGGGACAATGGGTGAGAGTGTCAAGGCCGAGAGCAGTGCGAGGCAAGAAGCAGAAAGGAAAGTCTTGTGACCTGCGGCGTGGTAGTTGAACACAGTGTGGTTGAGACCAAACAGTCCGCGTGGTAGACCAAGTCCACAATAGGGTGGAGGAATCAAGGAGTACAGTTTACAGGAAAGAGTAACCATGGCAGTAGCGATAGAGGGGTGATAATGATGTGATGAGCCAGTGACTGGCTAAAGAGGAAACGTATTTAAAAAAATCAATCTCAGCTCAGCTTGCCATGAAATTAGTATCTGTTGCTGCTGCCACTGGATCCGGTTATGATCCGTAAAGGTTTTAGCCTGGCCATACAACCTGTCGGTGCGCCAATAAATAAACGCTCCCTGGTACCATCTGTTATAGGGACTATAAATACACGGGGCTATTTTTCGTCCACCACCTCCCACACCCCCTGAGAATTAGCACCCTCATTATTCAAGTGCTGGTGCACCCAACCTTACAGTAAGGCAATTGCATGGATAGCTGGGCGGCTAATTTGAGGAGTGCGCAGATAAATCCGTGGGTGTGCACATGGAAGTGGTTTGCGCTCCTCTGTGCCGAAAAGAGCAACCGATGGATGCCCGCGTTGGCCTCGCTTTAGCAACTGTACGTGTGGGCAGCGATCAAACCGACTTGAGGAGAACCATGTGACTGGTGCGTACCAGCTGTGGCATTGGGGCCACAGCTCCTTGTCGGGGCTCTTCCAAGAAGGGGGAGGAAACAAATCCTATAACAACAACAACACAGTTTACGTTGCATCCGAATGGCAATTTATGAGAATTGGAAAAAGATACATTAGGGTAGGTTGTGGCGGGGTGGGTGGATGGTATTTGGTGATTCCGATCAGAGTTGGGTAATGTGGTGGACATAATTTGGGGAAACTCCGTGGCATGGCTCCTGGATAAAGCAGTTTTATCCATAGGGCCAACAGCGATGTATGTATGTTAAACTTAGTTGGGACTGTACGTAGTGAACCGTGGTAATCGAAGGTGCAGGGGAAGGACAACAAACTACTGTAAACACAAAAAAAGCAGTTCTCAAGAAATTAGTTTTCCATCTAGGTTTAAAAGTGCACTGCTTCGGTGGCTTGCTAATATCAGAATGGAGAGCGTTCCAGATGGCCGCAGAAGCGCATCTGAAAGCGCACGGCGCAGTGACCGTCTTTGTCCGACGGTTAGCCAAAAGCCGCTGCTGCGAGGATGACCCGAGTTTGCGTGAACCACGGGGACAGCCGGGGCCACCAGGGTAGTACCTTTTGAATCCCAGGGCACGCTCCTCGTGGAGATCCAGGGGCTGCGACGAGTCCAAGGGGCATCCTTGGGGGGGGGGTGGGCAGGGAAACTTTAGCCTTTGTTCAATGCGTTCCTGGGCAAGGCTGCAATGAAAAATCAAGCCCTTGGTGCGTTTTGCCCAGAATCTCCGCATGGTTGCGGCACGCCGTGACGTGGGCAGCACCCGACCAGCGTGTTTTCCCGCAAATTAAATGGCGGAGTATTTTTCAAGAGCACAGGCGCATTAATTAAAACCAGATGGGCTCTCGCGCTATTGCTGCCGTGCTCCCGGGAGCGCGCCTTCAGCGTCGCGAAACGACTGCGCGTATCGTTTACAGCGCCCGCGTGGCACACTATAGCTGCGTGCACATTGCGTGCACAATCCTGCACACTTTGAGGTGCTGTAAAGGCACACTGTACGTATTTGCATTGTTCGCTGCTTTGCATGCGCAACTTGAGTGGTCCACGTGTGGTCGTTTTAAATAGCGCCTCTGCCCCAAAAACTGTGGATGGATGGTGGATGATGGTCAAGGGTGCATAACTTCGATGACAACGGAAATGTGAGCAAAAAATGTTCCTCACCACCTTTATTCATCGGTGCCAAATTGAAGATGTTACATTATGCTCCGCCACATGACAAGCTAGACAAGACTCCAACCCAAGTAAAGCAAACAACCATGGGCACATTCTAATAAAGCTGCACTTATAATCCCCTTGCCGTAATACCCGGTGGGTTTTGGGCTTAATACACAATGAGCCTGGGGGCTTTTAAAAAAAAAAACCTCCCCCCACAGCCCCCCCCAGAGCCGGCGCTGGGAGACTGGTCACACTGTATGGAGTTGGCGTTAGTTTTGGCAGTGATATTGGCGTCCACTGCCCCCCCCCCCCCCCCCCCCATGAGACCAAGCAACTCCACTCGAGTTCCACGGGGTGCCTTTTTGGTGAAGGGACAGCAGCCGCTTCGTAAAATGCTGTCTCCACCAGAGAGACGCTCGCGGAAGGAAAAAATATATATTGCCGAGTGGAGTTTGACCGCTTACTAAATGGCAGATTGTTTTTGCAGAGATCTACCGTTAGAATGCTTTTTGTACGTGGCAAAAAGCATTCTACGGTGTGACGTGAACGGCGCGTATTTACACACACTTGCGGGTGTGTGTGTGTGTGTGCGCAGTTTGTATTTTTCAGTTATTAGTTGATGAAAATCAGAACTGCTGCAAGTGTGCTGGTTGGGTAGGTCACTTGTTTTAAAGGGCGCTTTGGAAAAAACAAAAAATATATATTTGTATTTCAACCCAAATGTTAGCGTTCTTCGTAAATTAAATATTTTTTTTAAATTGAGTTAATCTTGGCCTTACGAAAAAAAACACGCGCGCAGCGTACGTATACAAAAAAATATATATTGGTGTGCACGTGGAATTGGAACCTGCCCTGTTTTGCCAAAAAGTGGGAGAATTTCTGTGATGGCTGAGGAGTGACGCACACGTAAACCCGCACCACGTGCCGCGCTGTGAATAATTGTAAGGGCCCGATTGCAGCTGTGTTGCACGTGGCTCGGAATAAATCACAACCCCATCTTTGGCTTTCGGTGTTCTTTTCTATTTTTGCAGTGGAATATTTATAACAAAAAAAAATCGTACGTATACATTACGCATTTATGGAAATGTGAATTTTAACGCGTAGGCTTTTGCGTGATAAGTGTGCGATGAGTGGGGCAATGGGGGCTTAAAAAATATAAGGCAACGCATTTATACCAAAATATCCCTTGTTAATACATGGATGAGAGGCTACCTAGGAATACTAGGTTGTCATAGGTTCGGGTGCCAAGGTGGCATGTCAGTTATTCAGCAATAAATGTTTAAAATCGATTTACGCAGCGCTATTTGAGTGTTATCCCCTCGTACGTGTGGTTTTCTCCTGGTACCTTGCCCCCCCCCCCCTCTCCCCATAGTGCCACACTCGCACTCGTAGAAATTCCTCAACATCCCATGTGGAACTCGACTAACAGAAAATTGTCTGTGAGAATCAGTCAATCCTCGGTGGAAGAAGCATGGTTATGTTAGAAGGAAACTGCTTGCACTGGCATTTTTGTTGATATGACTTTCACAGGAAACTCGGCATTATTCTGTCCCCTGGAGCCCACTTTCATTGCACGCGGTGGAATGCGTATCTGCCTTCGTTATTTACAGGAATGCGTGTTTAATCGTACTTGCGCTATATCATTCGAAACTGACAAAAGCTGCATTTGATTTTTAGCCAACGATAAAAACAAAAAGTAACTGTGTCTATCAAAGCCACATTTTTATTTCATTTACTTTCCTTTATGCAGCTTTACAATACCATGGTATAAATGTTTTTATATATAAAATAATAATGTTGACCCAAGCCCCCTTTTTTTCTTTTGAAAAAATCAAGGAGAGAGGCCCCCCCCCCTCTCTTCCTGACGAAAAAAAAGCACAATCGGCGAGGGGCCTCCTTCAATAATGTGGGGCAGTTGAGCGTTAATTCCGCTCCGGCCTTTGTTACATTAAGTGCCGGACCACCCAGACACTGCATCAGCGTGGGGCTTCCACCCCACACGACGCGGCGGCGTCCGCCCGTAACAATGTCCCGCCCGCCCGCTCGCCCGCCCGCTCGCTCGCTCGCTCCACCGTTCATCCGCTCGCTCGCCCACTCGCTCGCCCACTCGCTCGCCCTTGCGCTTTCTGCGTTTTCGGCCAGGTGCTGGAGCACTACGAGCGGGAGGGGTTTGCGTTCCTCCGCCAGGTCTTCGATTCGTCGCACTCCTTCCTTGAGGACCTCACCGGCCTCACGCAGCTGCACCAGGAGACGCAAGCGGCCGAGGTATGTATGTTGCGTATCTTCGTTGAACTTCTTTCGCACCGTACATAGCCAACCGCGCTCATCGGAGGTGCGGGGAAAGGACAACAAACTACATACAAAAAGCAGTTCGAACGAAATGAGTTTTCAATCTCGATTTCAAAGTGCACAACTCTAGCGGCTTCCTAATATCGGGAAGGACGAACGTTCCAGACGGCCGCAAGAAGCGCATCTGAAAGCGCGTGATTGCTGTAACCCGTCTTTGTTATGTGCCCAGCAAAGAGCCGCTGCAAGGACGACCGGAGTTCGCGTTGGGTGAGGCGGTCCATCGCGCTGGCCTAACGCTCTCCCGCGTCGTGCCTGGCTGGACGTGCCTGGCGTGCTTTCCGCCGCTCCCCACCCCCTGGGCCCTGGCTTCGTAGTCGTTCTACCAGCGCCAGTTTTCTTCTGAGATGTGTCGTCGGCAACCGAGTCACTTGCCCCATCAGGTGTCTGGGCCGGGACCACGTGAGACGACAGCTGCCGTTTGTGGCTCATCGATTCAAAGTTCAAATTGTGATGCTCCACATATCTTTCGTCTAGTAAGGCCCAATTTTCAGACGACTGGCAGCCTGTGGCACCTCCCTTCCACACTTTCTCTCTGTTTTCTGCCAGTCTCGCCATGTTAATTTGCAACTCTAAATGTTTTCGATTTCCAACGATTTTCGGCAAAATTACTTGAAATTTTGTTAAATTTGTAATCAGAAATTAGCTCATAATATTCATAATAAAATTAGCTGCAAACTCGTAAGCGTGTGCAAAGGAAATGTGAGTTCGGGATCTAGGGTTAAGTTGTTGTACCCTGTCAACAGTTTCGTTCATTTTTTGTCCTTTTCTCAATTTTATTTTCATTGTGGCATAGGCCTCATGTTCCGAGACGAAGTGTCCTTTCTGGACTCCCAGAGCTTTCCATCACACCGTATTATAAAATTGCCCATGAAAGCAGATGTCACTGAACTACTTTTGAGATTCCTCGATGGGCCCTTTTTGTTTATCCACACACACGCGGACAGTGCACTTTCACACATATCCTGCTATGAAGAAATGTTCATGGCAAGACAGTGAAAATTAGATATATTTTTTTCCCATTTAAAGCTGGAATTCAGCCAAATTAAGTAAAAAAAAGAATGTGTTGTTTTGTTATGGAGCCTATCATGACCGGACTGATACCAACAACTCGCTAAACATGAGAGCCCGGTTTAATCACGGTCAGTTGGTTGAAACCCATATTCGAACGCAGGATTTGAGCGTGTTGGCTCAGCGGTCTGACCTCTGAGCCACCCACCCACATCTCTTGTTTATCATTATAATCTCGCAGTGGCCTCTAATGGACGGTTGTTTAGGAGCACAAGTGTGGATGTGGGTGACAGCAGGGCGCAAGGGCAAGGCGTAGGTCTCGAGGGCGTGTTTGATCGCACAATGGCTCATGTCAAGGCTATGAGAAGGTCCATCTGGGCCTAGTGGCCCAGCGGAAGTGATCGCAGCTCACAGTCACAAGCTTGCAAATTTAACATTGTTTGGGTGGTTGACTCAGCCCATCATCCCTCCTGGGGTCGATACGACAAGTATTACTTTGTTGGAGAAGTCAACAGTGGTTAAATTTTGATTTAAAGCTTTCGTGACTGCAGTAATTCATATTCTTAGCTCTTTCGGTAAAGTCACGTTGAAGGGAAACAATAAAATATATATAAAACAATAAAAATTATCACGACGTTTCGACCATAACGCAAACGGTCATCATCAGGTGTGTTTTATATATATTTTATTATTTTATTGTTTCCCTTCAACGTGACTTTACCGAAAGAGCTAAGAACATCAACAGTGGTTGTCCTGTGGATCGACTCACCCCTGCTATACGAATGTGGAATTTCCATTGCTGGCCCAGGGTTGTAAACAGGAGATGAACACAGCCACAGTGCTCATTTCAGCAAACCATCACTTAGACTTGTTATCTGAGTGCGAAGATAGATGCAGCTCTGGCGATAAGTGCTCGGGGGAAAAACGGCTGCACTCCATCCTCGCAGCATCTTTTGACTGGCCATCGAACAAAGACGATCACTGGATCGCACGCTTTTAGGTGGGCTTCTACGGCCATCTGGAATGCTCCTCACGATATTAGGAAGCCACTGGAAGCAGGGCACTTTTAAATCTAGATTGAGAGCTCTATTGTTCAGAACTGCTTTTTTGTGTTAAGCTTGTTGTCCTTACCGCGCACTTCCGATTTGCATGGTTGGCCTTGTACGGTACGAAAGAAGTTCAGCAGACAAACATACGTGTACTTGACAGCAGGGCATTCACTCTGGCCTAGACTATGTCCAGCCCAGCCAGCTAGCCTGCCCATGTGCACAGGCCCATCCCCTGCGATTGAGCATGCGCGTGCTTTCAGAGTTGTAAGCTATCAAGCCAGATGTGGTCGTCACGTGATTGGTGTGTTAACTAATCCCGGGACGAGCCTCGAATGTTTATTTTGCCTTATAGTGCAGCGCGTCCCGAAAATACGATGACATTTGACCAACATAGAAAGGGCCGTGTTTTTGTAAAGCAATAAGCGGTGCTCTTGGGTTATCACAATTGTGAGAGGCAATTTACTCTGTGAGTAACACAATACCATTTGGTAGAACAAATGCCTTTTTTCAAACGAATGGTAACTTCATATTGCCAAAAACATTTTGATTGCATCAGGTAATAGAGCAGAAGTAATCTTGAAATGTTGTTGTCCTTAGGTATTTCGGATAGACAACATTTACGATGCTCGGTTCTGTTTTCTGTTAAATCCCCATCTGTGCCTATTTATTATCTATGTGCCCTTTAAAACGTAATATCCACAATGCACAACAGTGTAATATAGTGTAATGCCGCTCCGATTTTGTTTCCACAACCCCCATGGTCAAGTCTGTCGTGCCTAACCAGCCTTGTGAAGTTTACTGGGCATTCATCATCAGCCATGATCTATCCACTGCTGAATTAATACCTCCCCAAGCATTCCTCTTCACGCTTCTTTCTCGCTACATTTCAAAATAACTTGTCAGGTTCCATGCTTCCAGACTCAGTGAGGCTTTTCTGCATATAAAGGGCATTGTTTAATCTTGACTTAAAGCTTTCGTGACTGCAGGAATTCATATTCTTTGGGTCTTTAGGTAAAGTCACGTAGATGGTGCAAAGAAAATAACAAAAAACTACGACGTTTCGACATTTCGATCGCAACACAAGCGGTGGCGATCGCTTTTGTTGCGAGAGAATAAGGGCATTTTTGTGTTGAAATGCAACTGCTTGATTGGTAGTTTTTTTGCTGGTATGACATTCACGGGAAGTTCGGTATTTTTCTGTCTCCTGGAGCCCTCTTCTCTGCACGCGGATTGCGCTTCTGCCTCTGTTGTTTACAGCAATACAGGTCACGCAACACAAATTCAACAATTGCTCCTCTGGCATCGTGGCGATGTAAGCTTAGCACGGTTAACATTTTTATCAGTGCGCTTGATGCACAAATGGAAAATTAAAAATTCTTCGATGCGCCACTGTAATGTCACCCATAATGCCCGGATTCACAAATACGAAATGGGGAGGCATGGTCACACAGATGCCCTCCGCTACTCCTGACACAAGTTTATCTGGCTCAGCCACCTCAATGTAAAATTTAAGTTGTTGCTCTAGCCATACAGAGAAGAAGAAGTGTCCAGATTGGTCTCCTCCGTTCACTCCCCATCTTTACTTCTCCATTAAACCACAAACACAGAGCCTACTTGCACATGTACCTCAGCGTCTTCCGGCGCCTATTGCTCCCACATGTTTTTCACTGTCTTTTTCTATGTGCATGTGTTTGTGTCACTTTCATGTCACCGTTATACCTGTATTGAACGTTTTCCGTGTCACGCATGTGTATTTCGTTCACGACCGTTAAATACTTTGTTAAATACTTCGTTTGTCAGTGGTGCAATATTCCTGACGGACCCTGAACTCGTTCTCTGCAATCTCGATGATTTTTGTTTTGTTGTTGCTGTACTTACGCCCCACGGATCTCCCTTGTAGTAAAAAATATCTGGGCAACTGGCATAAACGGGATCATCCGTGCAACAAATTAAATCAACTTAAACTCATGGAGAAATGTTCGGCAGGCATTGGGTGGGCTGTTTAAAAAAAAAAAGGTGCCACAGCGGACGCAATGAAACGCGTTTGTAACTCCACGATGGTGAAGGCGTTGTTGATGCCTCGTGTCCGTTGTTGGCTGTTGTCTTTTAGATCTGGGACATCAGCGACGATGAGAGCATCTAGGAGGGCAGCGCTGCAAAGGCTCCGGCTTTACGCCACGAAAACCATTGGTCAGTGACATCGCAGATGTAAACAGGCGCTTAACCTTTCACGATGTTTATTAAACTTTTTCACGAACCCTCAGATCATATGTTTGTTTCGAACATTGGTTTACATTGAAACCACGAGAATGTCGTCGTCGTCGTCCTTTTAACAAGTTTAAAAATAAATTTACGATGTTACACCGTAATAGAAAGCAAACAGAACATGAGTATTCTTCTGTAGATTTTTGTTTTTATATCGCAAAAATTCGAATTTAAGGTCAATAATTTACTGTTGAAATGAGAATTGCAGCGGTGTTCATCTCACGTGTACAGTTTTTGAGCTAGCGATGGTAATTTTACATTCCTATGGTGGGGGTGAGTTTATCTATTGGACAACCGCTGTTGACTTCCTCACAAAGTGGAGCTCGTTTTATCAACCCCAGCGGGATGATGGTGCTAAGTCAATGCCCAACCAGGGTTTGAACTTGCGACCTTTACATCGCGAGCCGCTCGCTCGCTCTACCGCTGAGCAACCTGGCTTGTAATTGCAAGTGGCTGGGTTTGGTGATGTTCATATTTCAAAGGAAGATGTTTTTTTTGTTGCTTTTTATTTTTATTCAAGGTTAGGCAAGCATTGGTGTTTTCAGGGTCTGGCCTGGGGATGGTCACTGCTGGTTGAAGAGCCAACGGGAGCGGTTCTCATTGCTCGCGTGCGGGTGAACTGCACATGCATGCCTGCACACGTTCGTCTGTGTTTTGACTATAAAACGTTGGGTTTGTTTTCTTTTTCATATTCCTGGAAGCAGAATGTACATGTATATTTTAACACGTTAACATAAGGGTTTGGTTCATTGTACACGTACAGTACGTGGCTTTCTTGGAGATTGCTGTTCCCTGTTTTCTTAACGGCGCCATTTGCAGCCACGTTGTTATCGTTGGTTAAGAAAACAGTAATGTAGGAAGGTTATGTTATGGCCTATGAGTGAGTTGGGGGGGGGGGGGGGATGTATTTTTTTTTTACTGACCAAACAAATCTGCACTGCCTTCTTTCCAAACAAAACAATAACTGGAGCAAAAGCCACCTATTCCAACAAGCGTCGATCCAGAAAGCAAGCGTGTAGGCAACCCCAGAATCAAGTCGTTGGGTTCAGCACATGCACTGTATGTAATGGGAAGCTGGCGTGGTGTAATGGGCAAAAGGTCACCGGTTCGATTCCATCTCCCGGGCACGGCAGTTGAAATGGTGGCGCGAGTTTCTTAAATTCCCCTCCTGCCTCTGTCCACCCAGCAGCAATTCGTCGATGGGCAGGTCGCAATTGCTGGGGTAAAGTGTGGGTACTCCGAGCTCTTCCAAGGCGTCCGGCCATATTTGACCGTATAACATTAATGGTTATAATAATAACAATAATACTTGTATTCATATTGCGCCAGAAGGAATGAACGTCTCAAAGAGTGCAGTGTGGGGTTTTTTGCCTTGGTGAACCCCCGAATGTCAGCTTGTCCCCTCACCTCAAGAGGGCCTGTTTGAAGCTTGCTCGCGTGGAGGGCCTTTTGCAAACAGTGGTGTGAGCAAGCAATTTCAGGGCTGCACCTTTATTACTCTGTGCAATTGCCGATGTTTAAATGTGGATTTGGGTCTGCTTTATCAAGCGACGTCACGGAATTGTGCGAGGCGACTGCCGAGGCAATGCGTCTGTCTGGGACAAGTTCCGTCGCCTCTCCGGTTTCAAGGGAGCGTTTTAAGACTCGTTATAAATTTGTTCGAAATATCAACGGTTACGATGCTGATGGCGGCCTTTGTTTACCGCCAGACATATTTCTTTTCAAAGGCATTGCGGGGAAGCAAGACTGCCCGTCCCTCGCAGGCTCTCTCTCATCCTCCCACATTTATTAATGTTGCACCACGAGGTGGCCGTTTGTTTTCCTCCACTGTTTAGGTGTGCGGGGTTCACAGGGGCTGACCTTTAAAAAAAATACATTGCGGAAGGTAGCCAACGGCCAGTTTATAGTATTACGAAAAGCAGAACCCACGCAGAAACATATGAAAAATAAACCCAAGTTGCATTGGCTTTTCTACCATGAAATATTGATGGAACGAATGGTTGCCACTGCCAATATTTATATGCGCGGGCAATGACGAAACCTGGAACAAGCCCTCTCTGGGATTGCCTTTGAGGTGTTTTTATTGCTTGTAATAATTTTCCTTGCCTATAAGAATTATACAGTATTCCCGCGTTAATTACGAGGGATTTGTTCCGGAGATGCTCGTGAATAGCAAATTTAATGGATAATGATATTGGCGCGTCTGCAGATGCTTTTAAAGCTTAGATCAGTTCTCTATCTCTCTCATCTCTGTATCTCATTACTTTCTCGCATCACGTTCTCGCTCATCTCTTTCTCTCAATGCAGTCGTGCAGCGTTACAGATACGATTTGCGGATAGCCAAAATCGCGGATAGCAGTTTCGTGAATAACGAGTGAATGCTGTATACCATTGTAGTGATTACAAAAAAATACACTGACTTGTCCTACAGGAGCATTAGTTGCTGACAAGTAGTGGCCAGAGATGAGCCTTGCTACACCGTGTTATCGTTTCATGTCTCACCAAACGCTGTTTTAGGTACACAATTTAAAATTTTCATATTCATTGACATCCTAATTGGTATGTATGAGATGAAATGAAAGATATGAAATGATGCGGTTTTGATGCTCTTGAAGGTCTGATGTTGAAAAGTGTTAATGTGATCATTAAAATGTATGGCATGAACGTTTTATGTGCAGTTTTTTTTTATGTTTCATCATCGGTTAATGTTTGGTCACAGATTCAATCCTATTCTTGGTTCTTTCGGTAAAGTCACGTAGAAGAGAAATAAAAAAAGATGAAAAAGAAAACAATAAAATAAAATTCTCACGACGTTTCGGCCACAACGCAAGCAGCCATCCTCAGAGCTGTCGGAAAGACAGCGTCCTAATGAACACTGCTAAGCTTGGCAGCGTATTTTAAGCTGGGTGGGAGGAGGAGAGCGCCTTGACAAAGGAGTTTCCATATCAACAGAATAATTTATCATATTGATGACAAATGCAGATATGGGGTTAGTCACTCCTTGTGAGGACGGCTGCTTGCGTTGTGGCCGAAACGTCGTGAGAATATTATTTTATTGTTTTATTTTTTATTATTTTCCTTCTACGTGACTTTACCGAAAGCTTTCAATCGAGATTCAATTCTTTTAAGATAATACAGAAGCGAGGCTGCCACGGTGTAATGGTTGGAAAGCTGCACTTGCGATCCAGGGATCGCCGGTTTGATCTTCTGGGGTGGCAGTTGAAACAATGGAGCCATTTTATTGAATCCTCCCCCCAACTCTGTCCACCCTTTCCCGTTCCAATGACGGATGTGTAACGTCATCGGACCGGAAACGGAAGAAAACCTAAAATAAAATAACTTTTATTGGTTTTGAGGCTCCCACATGACCATGCGGGAGGGCGTGTGGCACAGTTCTCTGCGGTGAGTACAATGTCTTAAAATACAACGGCGCTATGCCTCTGAATAAAATTAACGTTAACCACTTGCGCATTCCGAGATTCAGCAGTGAACGGGGCACCCACCCTGCAACTTTCAGTCATCTTGGAACGGGACAGGGTTAAGTCGGTCGGTAGGCCGCGTTTGCTAGCGTTGAAAATTTAGGCCAAATGCCCTGAAGAGGGGTGGAGGCCCTTCTGCCAGCAGTGACGTGAGCAAGTAATTGCAAGCATGCAAATTAACCTAATTATCTTTAAAAAATGTTGTCACTAAACATAATTTTTTTGATCTTCCTCTTGCAAAGCTGCCAATTAAAAGCAAGTCGTTTGTGGTGTTAAAATGTAAATTTTCACAGCAGTTTGAAAATATTTTTTTCAAAGAGTTATCTATGCATGGTGGCCCGCAGCCAGTTCTTAAATGTTCAGTGGTCTACGGGTCCAGAAAAGGGAACGGCTGACCTACAGTGAGGGAAAAAAGTATTAGATTTTTTGCTGATGTACGTTTGCCCACTGACACAGAAATTATCAGTCTATAATTTTAATGGTAGGTTTATTTGAACAGTGAGAGACAGAATAACAACAAAATCCCGAAAAACGCATGTCAAATATGTTATAAATTGATTTGCATTGTAATGAGGGAAATAAGTATTTGACCCCTCTGCAAAACATGACTTAGTACTTGGTGGCAAAACCCTTGTTGGCAATCACAGAGGTCAGACGTTTCTTGTAGTTGGCCACCAGGTTTGCACACATCTCAGGAGGGATTTTGTCCCACTCCTCTTTTTCAGATCTTCTCCAAGTCATTAAGGTTTCGAGGCTGACGTTTGGCAACTCGAACCTTCAGCTCCCTCCACAGATTTTCTATGGGATTAAGGTCTGGAGACTGGCTAGGCCACTCCAGGACCTTAATGTGCTTCTTCCTGAGCCACTCCTTTGTTGTCTTGGCCGTGTGTTTTGGGTCATTGTCATGCTGGAATACCCATCCACGACCCATTTTCAATGCCCTGGCTGAGGGAAGGAGGTTCTCACTCAAGATTTGACTGTACATGGCCCCGTCCATCGTCCCTTTGATGCGGTGAAGTTGTCCTGTCCCCTTAGAAAAACACCCCCAAAGCATAATGTTTCCACCTCCATGTTTGATGGTGGGGATGGTGTTTTTGGGGTCATAGGCAGCATTCCTCCTCCTCCTCCAAACACGGCGCGTTGAGTTGATGCCAAAGAGCTCCATTTTGGTCTCATCTGACCACAACACTTTCACCCAGTTGTCCTCTGAATCATTCATATGTTCATTGGCAAACTTCAGACGGGCATGTATATGTGCTTTCTTGAGCAGGGGGACCTTGCGGGCGCTGCAGGATTTCAGTCCACGGCGTAGTGTGTTACCCAGGGGCGGAGCCAGGATTTCAGGCCGGGGTGACATTCAACAAATTTTAATTTTAAGGATGAGAGAGTCAGGCTGTTGAACTAGACGCCATCAGTTGGCGACACACTCTGACAATGCAGTTGCATGGAGTCTGCCAGACCGAGTATGGTGTTACCAATTGTTTTCTTTGTGACTATGGTCCCAGCTGCCTTGAGATCATTGACAAGATCCTCCCGTGTAGTTCTGGGCTGATTCCTCACCGTTTTCATGATCATTGCAACTCCACGAGGTGAGATCTTGCATGGAGCCCCAGGCCGAGGGAGATTGACAGTTCTTTTGTGTTTCTTCCATTTGCGAATAATCGCACCAACTGTTGTCACCTTCTCACCAAGCTGCTTGGCAATGGTCTTGTAGCCCATTCCAATCTTGTCCCTGACATCCTTGGAGGGCTCTTTGGTCTTGGCCATGGTGGAGATTTTGGAATCTGATTGATTACTTCTGTGGACAGGTGCCTTTTATACAGGTAACAAGCTGAGATTAGGAGCACTCCCTTTAAGAGTGTGCTCCTAATCTCAGCTCGTTACCTGTATAAAAGATACCTGGGAGCCAGAAATCTTTCTGATTGAGAGGGGGTCAAATACTTATTTCCCTCATTAAAATGCAAATCAATTTATATCATTTTTGACGTGCGTTTTTCTGGATTTTTGTTGTTATTCTGTCTCTCACTGTTCAAATAAACCTACCATTAAAATTATAGACGGATCATTTCTTTGTCAGTGGGCAAACGTACAAAATCAGCAGGTGATCAAATACTTTTTTCCCTCACTGTAGAGGAGGTTACGTTCTCATTACCTACCCAAGAGTATTACCTCCGGAACACCGTTTGGAAATAATCGCCTTGTGTGCAAACAAAAAACGATGAGAAATGCTGCATTAAAAATGAATTTTATTGCTAGAGAAATGACCACATTGCAATCGTTACTACAGATTTTACATTCCAAGCCCTTCTTTTAAAAGTAATATACAAAACTTCAAATCCAACACTTTCTGTATGTTATGGGACATCCCATCACAACAGGAAAATGCGTGCAGGCTGGAAACAAATAGATCTAACAACATACAATGGTGCCCTGCTCACAAACAGCGGGAAGGCAGGACTCTGAACATTCACTTATTGAGCTGGTGGTGTGGGCAAGGCCGAGAGCATTGTATATGCGATGTGTTGGTGAACGAGCATGCAAGGCATGATGGGAGTTGTCTACCTGCTGTTTGTGAGCACACCTTGTTGGTGGTGTTGTTATTTCGATATACAAAACGCTGCACACTTTTTCACCTAATTTGCTAAAATACAAACGTCAGTGACCAGCTTTACCAAATCTAAACAATTCAAACTTGGACATCCTAAATTACTACCGTCAGATTTTAAATTCACAAAACCCTTGTCTTTGACAATAACATGATCTATACATAGTTTTTTTTTGGTGATCAGTCCTCTAGAACAACCCGAGGGTTTCAATATCTGAGGATGTTTTCGTTTGGGAAAAACCATACAAAATGTAGCCGATGTTTCGCAACCTTTTGACCCCTTAAAGGTGTGCACACGTTTTGATCATTGGAGGTTTTAGGCTGAATTAATTATCTATACCTTCCCGTGCTTTGTAATCGGGCAAATGTTTTGTTCCTGTCGCTCTGCTGTTAACCGTTTTTTTTCACTTGTTACTGCAAAAAAAAAACCGTTTTGCAAACATGACCACGAAAAAAATGTGTATTAAAAAAATATATATGCCACATAACTGAAAACTAGTTGTGACGCATAGGGCCAGCCTACAGAGATGCGTGAAGGATGCGGATCTCAGATCGCTTAAGACGCCAGCACAGTGCCCGGGGGGGGGGGGGGGGCTGTGCTTTTTACACCAGAGCCTGCCTGACTGCTGCATTTTGCACAGTTTTTCATGCACTCAGGTCATTTTAGCAATGCACTACAAAGAAGGATGCCACACTTTCTGTGCACGAAGAAAGAGAAACCCCCCCCCCCCCCCCCCCATCGCGAAGGAGAAATGCGTTTAGGCCGTGAAACAGAAATAACGACACGCAAAGGCGCAGCAAACGACGACATGGCAACGACTCGGATAACGACGATGCGACCACACGTTCAGCTTTTGAAGCTGGTGGTCTGGACAAGGCTGAGAGCATTGGACGTGCAATGTGGTGATCACATGGCTCGCACGCAAGGCGTATGGATGGGGGAGTCGTGCCTTCGTGCTGTTTGAGCAACAGGCCCTGAGCGTGTTGCTACTTCTAAAAGGACGATGCTCTCGGAAGGAACTACTGTTTCGCAGCTACGATGCAGGTCACTTGAAGCGGCAACGGTGGCTGCCAAACGTATACAGGTTACGTCGTACATAGCATGCATTACTCTAAATAATACTGTGTTCCTGCACTATAATACCTCATAACTGAACTGTAAGAAAGAATCAACTTTCAAAACAGAAGTGTAATAAAAGAAATTAAATACATAATGTATGTTTATTTTTTTAATGCAGCTACTTCAACCAAAAATCTAATAGCAACCTTATTACGCTCAGCGTAATACTAGCTTGAAGGCAAACTTAATTCCATTTGCACGAGAAATAAAATAACTACAAAATATTTTAACTAAGCGAATAATTGTAAAAGTGGAGAAAAAAATATCGATTTGAAATTTCAGGGTTTTACTCATTGTGCATCATAAATTGAGAAACACTTCACTCACCACTGCCAAAGGGCATTTTCTTAGACTACCACTTAAAATAAAAACTTGCAAATGGCCCGTGAGAAGTGGAGGTAGACTAAGGTAGACTAAACTGTGTGGGGGAAAGTAGATAATTTTTGTTTACAAAATGTTATAAGATCAACTTCAGCACACAGTCTGGTCTTCCACAGCAGTGAGTGAATATTAGGCATGTAACGATTAAACCACCGTTCTTGCCCAGAGTAATTCGATGAATTGTCACGACTCAAAAGGTTTTGATTCTACTCGGAGAATGCTTTTGCTCGTCATACTGTGATGGCATTGGTGCACAAGTAACAACAATTAAACACATTGATCTGTAACACTGCCCTTTGGGAATATTACATAACAGGCGACATTTTGGGCAGTGGCGCATCGCTGCTGTGAAGAAGGACCATTGCCCAATGTCGCCTATTATGTAATTTTTCCTCTTTTGGGCAGGGCTATTGACGAATATTTTTCACCAGTGGAGGATCCAAAGAGGGGGTGTGGGGGACGCGATTCCCCCCCCCCCCCCATTGAGGCCCTAAATTTAGTATTTCACTTTTTTATTTAACCAGGTACAGCCCACTGAGCTAAATAGCTCTTTTTCAGAAGTGACCTGGTCACAAACGATTGCTCAACCAAGTGGCTTATAATCTGGAAATTTATAGCAGCCAAATACTCTAAACACACGTTTATAGTTTGTATTGATATTTACTAGAGAAAATACACAATGTTTTTTTTTTAATGAACATATGGCCTATTTAAAAACCTTACAATGTTCAGAACTTCCTGCCCCTTACAGGTTTCTCGATCTGGCTCCGCTTGAGTTTTTTTCTTCAAAAAATATAGTTTTTGTCCGTTTTAACCATCTCGTTTGTAGTGGCATTTTCTCTATGTTGTGCAACTCTGTTGCTTCTAGCAGCCCGCAGGTAACATTGGACTTTAATTTTAATGAATCGTAAACAACAAATTCTTAGACGCACGAGCCAGCACATATATCGCGGGCATAAGAACCAGCTTAATCCGATGCATTTACGTTACATGCCTCGTAAATATACATTTTTAAAATAACCAAAGCAACGTGGGCCCTTGACAGATGTGAACGCAAACATTAACGATTGCGCAGTAATTTCATGAACGCTGCTTATTCTGGAATGGGACCGTGAACTGCTTGGTGCAATTGCGAGGAAAGGGGCTGAAACGAGAAACCATCGTTGGCTCACGTGAAGTGCGAATTTACTTTTCCCTCCACTCAAAGCCCGTTTCTTTTTGCCGCGATTTTAGCGTAAATTTTGAAAAAAAAAAATATGCCGATTTATTAAATCAATTAGAATTTCACGAATTTAATATTTAAATTAAGGAAATCCAGTCCGACATTTTATTTTTTGTTCAACACCAGCAGCAAAAAATAACTCGCAGTGTTCGCTACAAAACATGTGCCGTGTACGGGTTCTCGTGCTGTGAGAAATCCCGCGGCTACTTCTCAACACAACCGAACCGTGCCGCCGCATTGTTTGCCATTTAAGTTAACTTCAGTCTAGAACCGCTATGCCGCCTCACTGTGTTAGTATGCTCTCGTTTACAGCTACTCGCCTAAGTATTGTGCAGAAGTATAAGTGTTATGGGTCCTGCCTTTTGCACAGGACAGGTGGAATGTTGGCTGTGTCCGGACACCTGTTCCAAAACAATGGAGGAGGGGGGGGGGTACACGTTTCGACCTAGCTGAACCAAGCTGAACCAGCAGCAAAGCCACACTGCAGCCCACCTCACTAACCTCCGCCACTCCCAGTAAATATTTCCTTGAAGTCAAGGGAGGAAAGGGGAAGTACTGCCCTCCCGATACCCAAACAGTCAATACCCTGTGCGAGTGGGCCACCCCTTTTTAAAAAGGCAACCCTTAAAGCTTAGAAATGGGGGTGATTGTATTCAGCGCCAATGCCTGAACGAACCGTAGAGAGAGAGAGAGAAAAACAAACTCCTCTGGGAGTAGAGATTCCCAGAGCTCATTTTGTTATTTTCCTTCAATTTTTTTTCTACCAGGAAAAAAAAATCGGCGCTACAAAATGTTGTTCCTGCAAATTTCCCGCTTTGCAGTCGAACAAAGGAAATCTTATTGAAAAATTATAACATATAAAAACCCACGTGCCACAGCTAAAGTTAAACCGCACACACACACACACACAAACTCGCTCGCGATGCCAATCGTTGCTTATTGTCCTGTTACCAGCAGTTTTCATATATATGATAAAACAGCCTGCTGCAATAAAAAAACGTATAATGACTGACTGTGTGTGTGTGTCTAGGCAATGGGGGAACATTGCAGAAACATGTGGGATACAAGAGTTGTAGTTGCTACGTCATAGAGCTTTAGCCAGCGATTTACTCGGCATTCCTTATTTAGAGCGTGACTACCTTATCTGGTTAATGCACGCCTTTGAGCAGTGTCCCTTATATGGAAGTCGGCATTCCAACCAACAGCAGAGACCAGCTGTGCTCCATGCAGTACACGAGGGGATGTTGGATGCACAGTGCAGCAGATTCCCCTGTGCTGGTTATCGGTAGCACCTGCTTACGTAAATAGTGATTTAAATTCACTAAAGGTGACTGACATCACTGACTTGGGACGAAAGGGCAATGTGCTATGTACGGAAGACATACGTCTTTCAACATGCCGATTTTATTAAAACTATGTTTCTTAAAAAATAGCTTGCATGTAAAAAAGAAACCTTATTTTTCTCAGAACGTTCAAAGTATAAACTTTGAGAGCATTTTGTTCCACAAAAGCTAAATGTATTTTAACACTTTCCATAATGCATGTAAGGTTAACCTTGGGGCCTTTGCGTACAAACCTACGTTTGACACTCATACATTAGGAGGCGGCAATCAATGCGAAATGTGCATAACATTGGTATAAACACAAATAAAAATGTGCCCTAGTATCTGCCACCAGGGCAGCCGTGTGCGCATACTTAGTGAAATCATCATTGTCATCATAGTCGTCGTCGTCACAGGCTTTTTGTGTTTAACCAACAATGGGGGCAATTGCGTTGTGATAACCGCAGCACAGAAATAAAATAAAAAAAGGACAACGCCACGCTCTGCGCAGGCGCCAACAGCGACCGGAGGTGCCGCACTCTTTACGAGATGACGGACGGGGAGCGGTTACGGGAACCGGGGGAGCCTCCTCGGCCTCCCCCCATGGAGGCGGACGACGACGGGGAAGAGGCGGACGAGGACAGGGACGAGGAGGAGGACGAGGACTGGGCGGTCGGGTGCGGAGCGGCGTCGCCCTCCGCCGCTTTGATGCGCAGCCACGTGTCGCCCAGCGCCTTGGCGAAGTGCTCGTCGACGGAGCCGGTGACCGACACGCAGGACGACGGGCTGACCGCCGCCGGCTCGGCCTCGCGGGCGGCCGGCCCCGGGCCCCCGTGCCGGCCCAGGCTCCGCCGGAAGTGTTCCTCCACTACCGGGTCGTACGGCGCCGACGCTGGGGGGGGGGGGGGGGAAGATCGTTGAGATAACGATCCCTCGTCGATCGCGCGGCGTGTCACATCTCTCCCGTCTGTTTGAGTCTCCTGTCGTCGGTGGGACGTGAGTTACTCGAACGGTAACCAAATAAGTAAGTCAGATTAAATCAAGGACAGAGGAAATATTAAAAATCGAATAATTCGTGAAGGAATTAAGTATTTGACTTCGGTCGATGATGAATAAGATATCACGGTTGGATTTGGAGGTGGCAATTTAAAAAACTAAGAATTCAAAATAATGAAAAGCAGAGGTCTGATTTAAAACAATATAAATTCCAATCTCCCTTTGGAGATTTCATCGTAAATAGCAGTGGATAATTGTTTCGTAATTTACCTTAATTTAAAATGGGATGACAAACAGCTGGAATAGAACATTTTGTGATATATATATAAAACTGTATTGTTCTGCGGGACATGGTGATTTTGTAATACTACACAAATAGGAAAATGTCGGTATTGAACATGCAATTAACAGTAGCACGAGTGATGGTCATTCTACCCCTGGTTATATTTACGTGGAAATAATGAAACTGAGTCGTAAAACGGTAAAATATCACAACTTATGAAAATAAAAAAAGCAAAACTGTTACTAAAGAAAACACGGAAGAAAACTACTAATGCCGCTTACAACATGGCAATGTTCCTAATTACCCTTTTCACAAGTGCACGGGCCCTATTTTTACACGCTCCTGTCGCTGCCTCCCTAAAGGACACTGTAAAAAAAAAAAGATATATATACTGCCACGCAGCGAGTGCTTATTTTACTTATTCAGTCCCGGGTGGCCACGGGGCTGCATAGCACATTCTCCCAAGGGCTCGCTTTGTGTGGCGATGAGCAGCGAGATAAATAATACGGGACGACCTCTTGGCAGACGGCAAAACCAGTCACACTTCCACGATATCGGACGTAAATTTATTTTTGCCCGGTCCTTTCCGGGCCAAGCCATGGGTGGAATAGTCAACGACTCCAGTCCAAAGTGCCACAAGTCAACCCCTTTTCCTTTTCATGACGATGATTATTTTGACATGTGTATTAAAGCCCTGCTGACGTCTCCCATTCTGATTGCGCGATACGGCTAGTTTCCACGATTTCAGATGTACTTTTCAGACCCTTTAAGAGGTGTGATTAAATATGAGCATTAAGTGGCTGCATAGTATGTCAACCAATTGGCAATCTAATTCAGATACAAATCAAGTGTCCACCTTTCTTAATACAGGAGAATGCTCATCAACTACTGCGGTGTTCAGACGTACTCAGACGAACACGTAGGCTTTCGCGACCAATGTCATCCATAATATAGGTTTTTTTGGGCTAGATCGCGTAAATATACATGTGTTGCTAGTTATAATTACTGGCGAAATGTTGTACTCAGATTCTAAATGTCGTGGATTTACCCTCCAGCACATCGATGTGCTGTATGAGTAACGAATTGCCATGTTCTGTTTACGTGACAAACCTTATTAATTGGCTGTGTCGGGTGGTGGCGGGTGTAACGACACATTGATATTTACGCGATCTAACCCAAAAAACCTCTATTATGTATTCAGACGAACTGACTTTTTTATCTATGCCGGAACAATCATGGTGCGTTCCATTTTGCGCATTTCTCGCGCTGTTGATTTGTGCCATGAATAATATAATCTAAAATTCCTAAAACGAAAAACTGATCGGATCACCTAAAGTGCACCCAATCTCAGATCTCAGAAGCTGAGGTGGTTTGAGCCTGGAAAGTGCTTGGATGGGTGACTGTCGTGCATACACAGGATGCAATAAGGTGGGTAGTAGAGGGAAGGGCATCAACATGATATTGTACTGTCATTCTGTGCTCCCATGTCTATGCCTTCACCAACCTGCCCTAGCCAGTGTGGCATGGTGAAGTAACCTCCATGGCCCACAGAGGGGTGGGGAAGCCCTCATCCAGCAGTGGATTGAAAAAAAAAATCAGTACGTGTGCAGAGATATTTACCTGCACAATGACAGCCCACATGTATTATTAGCAACAACTAAACACATCGATCAATAACACTGCCTTAAAAGGAAAAAAAAAACTATACAGGCGACGGAGTCAGGTAATAGCCAAGAGGGCAAAAGCCGTTCACGTCCTATGATTAATGGCTATTGCCCATTATATATTTTCTTCCCTTTAAAGCAGTGCTATTGACAATTACAACTGTGTTGAGTTTTTGTTGTTTGCGCTCGTGCACCACCACTGCGTGCGCGCCAACACCAATACCTGGACGCATCATAACGATGGGTATGGCTTTTTTTTCCGCCGCTCGTTCCCCCCTACTCACAGCCGGGCTCTTTGCCGAAGTCGCCGGTGGGCTTGAGCGGCGGGCTGCTCTTGGGCTGGCTCCGCACCGAGTTGCGAGATGGCGGCGCGCAGGTGATCACTGAAGGTCGCATCTGAGGGCGGACGAGAGAGAGAGAGAGAGAGAGGAGCATATCCCTGGTGGCGCCGGCGGCCGTGGCAAACACTTTCCACGGGGCCCTTACCTCATGGCGCGGCAATCTCACAGCTGTTACGCGCCCGGTGTTTTTCTGCGCGTGTTTACACGTAGCTATCTATATTCTCCCGTCCGGGGTGGAGCGATGGCGCGGAGGTTGGCCCACTTAGCTGCAAACAGTGGCGGACGCAATTAATTGTAGGGGCGATGGGGGAGATCTACCCTCCCCACCACCACCTCGTTGCGCGGAAAATGTACGTTTTATTAAAGTTGTGTAAACTCACATGCAGGGAGTGAATTTTCATACTTTATACGCGTCTCGTATATTTATATCTCCACTGCGAGTCGGTGAAATATACACAAGCAGCCTGCACAACGGTACGATTGAGGTGTCCCAGCAGGGCAAGTAAAGCTGAGCTCTCGCACGTCTCAGGAGAATGAGGTGTACCAGCTCTCCAGAGCAATAACCGTGGCAGCTGAAATAGCAGGAGGCTAGTAATGAGTCAGTTCATGTATAGCGGCGTGGGTCTGCTTGTAATATAAGTGTGCTCTTCACACCTGCTGTCTAAAGGTGACCTGTAATTGTACAACATGTTATGTGTCACCCTGCTGTCTCAAGAATCGATACATTTTCACAATTTGGGGTCACAATTCTTTTTGATCATCAGTTATTTTTGTCCTGTTTGTACCGTTCCATTTGCATGATCTCCTATGTTCTGTAAAGTCCATTTCATTCATCTAATTGTAATATTTCTATGTAACCATCTTATCCATCTGTCAATTTCATTCTGAGAAATTTGTTCCTGAAGAAGCTCCCCGCATGTGGAAAGAAACATCGGAAAACAGCCGGTGGTACAACCCAAAAAGACATCGGAGAGCTGTCAAGTAAAACCGCAAAAAAATAGAAAGTTCAATACCAATCCGACCAGGTGGCAGTAGACCAAGTGGCTCACAATCAGAAGGTTGCGAGTTAAATTCCTGGTTGGAGGTCGACTCAGCCCATCATCTCTTCAGGGGTCGTTAAAATAGGTATCACGATCTATGTATAAAAAAACCCCTATATTTTAAAAACCTACATTTTAAGTGCCACATTGTGGGGGAGTCAACAGTGGTTGTCATATGGAGAGACTCACCCCCACCATAGGAATGTATAATTTCCACCGTGGGCTCAGGGCTGTAAGTGCAGGACTCGCACCACGTCAACGCTGATTTGAGCAGGAAATCACTTTGGTGTTCGACCAGTGTAGTTAAATGCCTAGTGCCCTGCAAGCAGTGTTGGCGAGGCTGGACCAGGCGAGCGGCGGGCCGACTGGGACCACGCGCGTCCTCCCTCACCTGCTGCTGGAGCATGGTGCTGTGGAGCGGTATTGGGCCTCCACCGGGCGACGAGCCAGGGCTGCCCATGGACGGGCGCGACATCTCCACCGACATGGGCTGCACGGAGAGGTCGTGGGGCAGGCAGCCGAAGGGCGCGGGCGACGGTGCCCGCCGGGGCTCGCCGGGGCTGCCGCTGAGCGGGTAGCTACGCCCGTACTCCCCGTTGCTGCCCGGCCGCCTGCCGACGCGGGGCAGGGAGAGAGCGATACAAGCAGAGAGGCGGGCCGGGGCATACGTGCGAGTGAGTCAACGGCAAGCGGCCAGGTGTGTCAATCAATCAGGACTGCGATTCAGGTAGAAGTGATTTGTCCACCTTTCTTGACAGCGGGAGAGATGCTCGTGAAATGCCACGGCGTCGGATGTACTCAGACTGACTTTTTAATCCACGCTGATGCATTGATGGTGGATCCAGTTTCATGCACATGTGACTCCCATAAATAAGGTATATTTTCTGAAACTGTAGATAACTACCTTCAAAATAACATACCATATGTACTATTAAGATATATACTTGGACCTTTTTTTAATCCTCGAATGTATGAGGGCCTTCCCAGGGCATGCAGGCTATGGGGCTCATTTGACCATACTTCACCACCCTGTGTGGGTTCGTTAAGTCAAACAGCAGAGACATGGGAGCATAAAAGAATAATACAACAATGGTTTCTGCTGCTCTGCCATCTGCTGCCCGAAATGTAGCCCCCAAAGCAACCTATAACCCCTGGCATGTATGGTGGTCACCCATAAAAGCACTATCGAGGCAAAAACTCTGGTCAAAGGTAACAATAATAACTTTGAATGGCGGAGCTTTGCTTTAAAGGATGATGCAAAAATATTATTGCCATTATCTTCAGGACACACATAACTAGGCTGTGTGTCCGGGGTTGGTTGATATGAGTTTGTAAGCTTGATTAACAATCAAGACTTCAAAATGAAGCTCAAAGGGGTCAAGTAAATGGCACTATGAAGTCACTGCTACATTTTTAAATATCACTGCAGTGATGTCACTGGAGTGCTACTGACTAGGGCTGAACGATTAATCGATTTCAAATCGAAATTTTAAACAATGCGATTAGCAAATCGCAAAGGCTGCGATTTTTTGCGATTTGAAAAGTCCTATTACTTTATTATTGGAATTGTTTTATTTTTTATTATAACTTTATTTAACTTAACAAATTGTTCTATGTTTCAGTGTTCAATTTCAATTAAAATTTTTCATAAATACATGTTGGAAGCAATGAATATCTTTTAAGTTCTTATCCTTGCATTAGAATATATAGAGCAGTTCATAATTTGATGGTATCATGTGGTAATGCTCCATCACATGTTTTAAATCTATTACACAGTGAATGGTGAACTGAAGCTTGACTTAAAAAAATGTAATCGCAAATCAAATCCCAATATCTGTCAGAAAAATCGCAATTAGATATTTTCCCCAAATCGTTCAGCCCTACTACTGACCATGGATTTTAATGTTTTTTTCCCCCTCATTAACAAAGCGTAAAACGTGTGCCGGACAGCTCGGGACAGGTCTAGGCATGTATGTCTCCGAGTTACAGTGAATAATATTGTTTTTAAGATTACACCTTTAAAAATAAAATCTGCTCTGTTTTGCAATTATTTGAAAGTTTTTTTTTATTTCACCCTTGCAAATATTAAGATTTAATTTACAAACGTCGCAGTTTTAACTTGTAACAAAACCGAAATCTGTTTGGACTGGTTAGCACTTCAGTTTTATCAACTTTTACACGACTCCCAACGCATCAGCATGCAAACGTAAGTCATGGCCCAAATGAAATGTCTCTTGCAATTTGTTGGAATAAATGGTGCTACATTTGCACACGGTATGTCTATGCCCATTAAAGAAAAGTATATGATTTTTTTAATACACACACCTGGAATGTGCCTGATTGTCAGATCTTGGAAGCTAGGGAGGTTTGACACTGGGTAGAGCTTTGGATTTTCGACGACCATGCATAAACAGGTTGTGATAGGGCTGTGTGATGGGGCCACAGAGTGCAGAGTGTAGCTTGCTGTGCTGCACTCCTATGCACTGAGCAGAATGGTGAAGTATGGTCAAATAACCCCCATGACCCGTTCAGTATGGAGAGGTCTTGAACCGAGCACTGCTCTGATACAAGGGCCTTACGTGTACCAGGTACGTGAACCAGATAAGTGTGCTTTTATGCATGAATATGCAATGCGTTTGTTATTATAAACCCACTCCCCTTAACATTAATGACACACCCCCACTATTTCACAGTGGAAAATCCCAATGTAAAAAAAAAACGAAAAAGTTGTCCAGACAACCGAGTGGGGTAACCCAAACCAAGGAACGAGGGTGGGGGTGTTACCGGGTACAGTTTTTTTTTTTATAAACGGACACAGCTGTGTTTTCAGCAACGCTCCAACCCCAATCTCCCTTGCAACCCTTTCCTTTATCCTAACACCCCCCCCCCCCCTCCATCTGGCACTCACATGGATGCATCCAGTTTGACCCCGTTTGCAGGAAGCCCTCTTTTGACAATCTGTGGCTGACCTGACACTTGACCAGGGTTAACAGCACTGTCCGACGATTACGATTTCTCCCCTCCCCGTACAGAATTTTCTTGCACGATACAAAAAAAATGCTATATATCCATGGCCCTGGCTCAGAATTCACAGGGCGCGGACTCCCAAAGCTGATAACGGTCAACAGTCTATGAATGTCGTAAAACAATATAAATCAGTTTGCCTCTCTCATATGGAACGCATGTTGTCTTGGAGAAATTTATATATACAAGTGCTGCAGGATGGTTTATAGCTGCTTTAATGTCTACAACCAAATAATCCTAAACGAGCCTGAGCTTATCGCAGAAGCTAAGCAGAGTTAAGCCTGGTTAGTACTTGGATGGGAGACTGCCAGAATAAGTACCAAGTGATGTAAGACTTGCGCTGTGAGGTGACGAGCTTTGAATGTTATCCCCTCTCGCATGTGTGGGTTTTTTCCGGGGCACTCCCGTTTTTCTCCCACGTATGAAACGCTCATTTCATGGAAATGGCTAAACAACCCAATGTAGTCCTCCTAAAAAGAGTTGAGACTCCTTGGTGTAAAAAAACATAAATGTGTTGTTATTATTTTAACAGCCTATGGCCGTCAGGTCTCGGAAGCCACGCGGTACTCAGCCTGGATAGCGCTCGGATGGGTGACCCAACATGTAGTGGGCAGCCAACGGCAAGATATGAAACTCCACTGTTGTACAGCACTACTGTGTCCCTATGTCGATGATGTCTTTATCAACCCGCACTGAGCGGTGTGGCGAAATGCGGTCAATAAGCCCCGACAATCCCGCACAGCGTGGGGGAGTCCCTCATCCAGCAGTGAAATGACGCGAGGGCCGTGCGTGCACACACACTGCCATAACGATGGGGGTGTATTCACCAAAAGAAGAGTGCAGTGGATACTCGGTCAAGACCGCACGACTTCGCGAGTTGCGCGAACGATATATTTCCCCGCAAATTAACTCCGGGAAAGGCTCGCGGCACCGAATCCCACCGGGAGAACTGTGCCCACTCAAAGCGACTTGGCCCCGATGGTTTCTGCTGACGTGCTTCCCGGAGCTGCCACGATGTACAGTGTACATGGGAGAGGAGGAAAGTTGATGATTATCCTGGCTTTCCGAGCTACCCCCGGGGCCCTGGCCCTTGTCAAGATAAACACTCCTCGGCCCTAATCCAGAGGCCCCTGTCAAAATAAAAGTCCACCCAAGTGCAGCGTGTGTGCACGAGCCAACCGCAGCGATTTCTCTCTCATTTCTTCCGTTATTTCAAGCTGAGATTTCGTTTAAATCGCAGTTGCTGTAAATAGGGCCCATCCCGCCCCCCAAAATGCCAAGTGGCTAGCAAACAAATTGTACTATTAAAGTTGTAAAAGACAAAGTGGTAACACGTTTTGATTTAAAGCTTTCGTGACTGCAGTAATTCATATTCTTAGCTCTTTCGGTAAAGTCACGTTTGTGTTATGGTCGAAACGTCGTGAGAAGTTTTATTGTTTTATATATATATTTGATTATTTTATTGTTTCCCTTCAACGGGACTTTACCGAAAGAGCTAAGAATATGGTAACACGTTTCTTGAATTGAGCGAGGTTGTGATTAGAACTTGCAAAGCGACGATGGGATGGAATTCCAAAGTGGAGGCGTGCGAGGGAAGAAGCCGAAAATGAAGTGTTGTTTCGATTTAAAGCTTTCGTGACTGCAATGATTCATCTTCTTTGGTTCTTTCGGTGAAGTCACGTAGAATGAGAATAAAATAATAAATTGATAAAATAAAATAACACAATAATATTCTCAACGTTTCGGCCACAACACAAGCGGCCTGGTGAAGGGACGAGACTGTCTGGTAGGACAGCGCTGTCCTACCAGACAGTCTCGCCCCTTCACCTGATGAAGGCCGTTTGTGTTGTGGCCGAAACGTCGTGAGAATATTATTGTGTTATTTTATTTTATCAATTTATTATTTTATTCTCATTCTACGTGACTTTACCGAAAGAACCAAAGAAGATGAAGTGTTGTTGTGACCTGCAGCGTGATGAAAGAGTCGGTGTCCAGTAGACCGAGGCCTCAACATGGGTGGAAGAATCAATGAGTTAAGTTCATGTGAACAATAACCATGGCAGTAGCGATAGAGGAGTGACAGTGATTCGAGTGAGCGAGTGCTAGAGTGAAGCAGTGAGTGCTGGCTCATCATCCTGGGATTAGCTTTTATGGATATATTTGCTTCAGCACTTTGGCTCCCAAAAAAATATAACTTTTGAATGCTTCATCTAAGCTATGTGTGCCATTTGTTACATTTACCTATGAAGATGGATGGCCACGAAACTTCCACAATCTGTGATTCGATGTGGAAAAAATATCCAAACTTAATTTGTAAGAGAAAGCCGAGTTTATCAGAGGTGTAATTTATTAGCGGTAATTAGAACCAGGCTCGGTTACCGCTTTCTCAAGGGGCTTTTTTAACCAAAGGGTCTTTGGCTGCTTCTGTTAATGCCTTCCTTTTTGATAAAAGGTCCCTCTGTTGATCTGCCCACTCACTCCGAGCCGCTGGCTAATTCTTTATTGAGTCCGACTCCATTACCCTACGTGCAACCTCTCTCGATGCGTTTTCGGGCTGCGCCGCATGTCGTTCGGGCATGACATCCGA